GCTACGTGCTATTGCATAAGGTAGATAAGGACAATAGTCGAATAAACGATTGCCTGTGAAGAAACACTTTCCGCCGCTGTTGTTTCTGCTATCAGTTGCTAGACAAATGTGCGAAGGTCTTCGAAAGAAAATAGAATAGCTTTACAATGACAAAAGGCGTTAAACCCATCTGTGAGGGGCAAATGCCAAATTCGCACATAAATTCTGAAGGTAAGCGACATCACTATAGGCAACACTGAGACGTGCCCACGAAAGCTGCAATGTAGATGAGTAGTGACTGCAATGACAAATCTAAAGGGGAGAACCTGTATTAGACTCTCTACGTATCTGTATGCGTACGTGTGGCTAAAAGGCTTAACTATCGAATATGCGCGCGAATGGAAGAAACGGAGTCGTTTTTGTCATTAAAATGTTTTATGATAACTAAAATTCATAGGATTAAATGTCTTCTCGGTTTTAGGTATCTGTTTTATAAAAGAGGATTCAGCGAATACGCATCTATTATTTGCTAATAAATAGAGGTGCTCGTTTTAAACTGAATGAGGCTAAAATCTGTGGTGGGCTACTGATAACTGTGATATTAATGCTGAATATCCTTGCAAAAGCTCAAGTCTATTATTGTCAATATCTTCATAATGGTATTATTTAACGCAGTATTATTAGTAGCAATGACGAACAAAATGAATGAAGGTATCAATATAGACTTTCTTGTGAACCATTCACTTAGGGCATTGGAGAAACGGTGCACGTAGGCTAAAAAAGCAAATCAAACAAAATTTGGACGCGTTTTACCGCCCTTTGTCTAGATAATCCTGCATGTCCTGAACAACTGCGTGTCACTTTTTTCGCAACTATCAAACAGGTTAAGAACCAGTCCAGGTGCGCATGAACGACCTTTTTGAGAATAGAACTTTGAAGAGCATAAAAAGGTATTCTTTTCTATTGAATTTAACTGTTTAGGGTTTAGTTTATTTAATTTAACAGGCGTTGAAGATTATTGTATTATAAGAATCAGGGAATACTTTGCCTATAGCCACAAGTACCTGTCTTCATTGAGGCATTCAATTTTGCCTAGTGCAAACAAATCGTAAGAGAATATCAGCTCTAAAACTTTGAATCAATAGGACCGCGCACTGTTCACGAGAACTGACGTACTGCTGCGCGTTTGTTTTACTATTGATTTATGTGATTCATAGGTTCTCCTCGAAAACTGCGGCTACGACCGACTAATACAAGAGAACGAAGTGTTTCTGTAACCACACAGACTGATCAACTGATTACAACAAACAACCTTAGTTTAACTGTAATGAGTAACTTATTGCAGAGACCCAGACTTCTGCAGCTTCATGTTAAAGGGCTTTGTCCTCGTTCTACCGTAGCAGACGACACACTGACACCCCGCGAGTCGACCGTTTATTATTATCCCTTACATCTTTCATCATTCGCTTTGTAATTCTCACTGTGGTTTGCTGACTTTCCTATAATTTACCTGTAAATGATGAAGATAAGGTTTCCCGTGGCTGATGAGGGTTTCTCTGATGCATTGCTTCATATCGCAGAATCGCCATGGCTGAACCCTATTGGTTCGATATACCTTTTGCTGAACAAGTGTGACGGATCATTTGCTAGGACTATGCTTACCGTACAGTGAGAAGGATCTTGCATGAAGCATGACGAACATGCTTGTCAACTAGATCGACAAATGTCTGATAAAATGATAATTCTCTTTAATAAGCACATCATTTAATCAGAGGTTATATAGGAGATGTAGAATTTACATTTAATTGAAGCTGGCATCATTGAATTTTCGTTTGATCGTTTAGTACGCAGTAGAAGCTTTTTTTTTTGTGTAAAGAATGTTCTTGTATGTTTTGTGACGAGATCGCAACACACTGAACTCCTGTTTATTTCCGAAGATGAAACAGCGGGCCGCTATTACTTTCATGGAACGAGTTAATTTCTGTGAACTGATAACACCAAAAACATTCGTGCAAAAGGGGGTGTACCCAAATGATTTATCTAGTTACGTAAACGCAGTTCATGTAGTAGATGCTACAAAAAGCCTTATTTATAAAATTTGATTGCGTGTGATATTACCGAACACTTCGATAACAAAGTTTGTATGATGAAAGGCGGATTAGCTTCATAAACCTGGTGCCCATTTCAACTTCGATTGTTCAAAGTACTTCATGTGTTTAACTGTGATTAATATAAATATCGGGATAATATAATTCTACTATCATTTTCGATGAACTTTAGGCCAATTAGGACCGACTCAGTTTTTAAGTAAATAAATCAGTGTAGTTGTTACACGTTGCAATGATCTATATTATGATATTTGAATTTGTTTCGCTTTCGTGCAATTGAGCCTCATTAGTCTGTTTTAGTGAAGCAACTTCTATTTTTGATATTACTACTATATATATATATATTGATAATACGGCTGTCAATGAAAAGCGCCTTTGACCCAACTTACGGCCATTCGTTTACTTTTCTGCGTTGATGCATTGTTATTACAGTGCGCCAATAATTTGAACGTGTTCGAATAGTTATTGTAGTAACTTACCTTTACTGCTGAATCATTCTAATTTATGTACTTCACGACGATGATTTGCTCGTCCTATAACTTCCTAGCAGTTGCTTTATTACATTGAATCAATTACCCTGCGTTCCTCTTACAGTTGACTAATCACAATGCTAGCTTTGATCCGTTACCCTATCGGGAATATTGCATCCTGTCGAGGTAAAACCAAGTTTAATGTTCAAAGTTCCAAACAAATTTTACACCTCTCGAAAAGCCAAGGAAGCTTATCTACAAAAATATACGAATATGCGTTCGTAAAATTCTCGGAAGTGTTTTACGGAACTGCCATTTCACGCAATGCTACAGTGCGAAAAAAATTAGGAATATGATTTTGGGTCTATTATATCGAACTCGAGAGGTCCAAACAGGGAATGTTGCAATGTCCTCAGAGCTAGCATCAAAAAAACTGACCGAATAATTAATTCGTTTTCAAAACAGTTGGAAAAAAGACCCATTTAGACTTTTTAGCATAAAACCTATTTGGATTTAACGTACGTGCTTGCAATGACGACAATATTGCTAACGAGAGGGTTTTTTTTTTTAAAATTTTAATCTATATTATAATATTACTCTGCCACCTCTGAACGAATATTGAGGTGATAGAAAGGTAGAATATTTTTTAAGTCTTTCTTATTGCTAGCAATTACTAGAAGCTTAAGTTTATATACTCCCGGATATAGGCAACGCAAAATACAGAATAATTCATTTTGTATGATTTCAATATTTTAAAAATGTCTAAAAACCGTAGTGCATTATATATCACTAGCTTCTGCCGCCTTCCTGCGGTAGCTACCTAGCAGTAGTCGATTTCGATCAGCAGGATGCTCGGACGGAGTTCCCATTTCAATATTGGAATGATATCATTGGATTTCTACAGAAGTTGATGTGCCATTTTCATATAACAGATTATTTTTCTCCATTGTTTGTAGGCTATCTTCTGTATATTTTCACAGAAGCGGAAGTGCGTTCGGGTCACTGCGACGATGGTTTTGCTCTATGGACTTTTCGTGCAGAAGAAATTTTTTTCGTTGAAGGTAATTACCCAACGCACAAATGCAATTGAATTATTGACGTTACTCTGAAAATCGTTAGGATATTGCAGCTTTCCACGGAACTTCTTGTTGGTCAGTTTGAGATTTCATATTCTTAACTATAGGAAACTTAATCACTGGCCATGAATCTATCTGCTTGAAAGTTAATAAGAAGCACGAAACAGCAGACTGCTTTAACTATTGACGATCTAGAATGGGAAATTTTGTTCGACACTGCCAAAGGCGGTTCCAATCGAAATATGAAGCAATGGAATTATTCTCACTGAAATAGTATAGTGTTCTTTAAGGCCTTTTTTTGTGCAGGAATAGATCACTCGTATTTGAACGCTTTCCATACACCGACATTTTATATTGAAATAAAACATAGTTGTCCTCATAAAAGTAGCGGAAAGATCTACCTACTTCCTTCCCATACCGTTATCCAGACACAAATGTCAACGAGTGCAAACCACAGTCCTATGACTTAAAAACACACATATATTTTATTTACACAGGGTAAATGTTCTTCTCGTTATCTAGCTTTGGCGCTATACGTCCTCACTCGAACTTCGTTATAGTCGTTTCTCAAACTCTTCCATGGATAAAACACATACACAAGAAATCAAAAGCCACGAAAAGGGCTATCGGCAATTGATAACACGAATTACATTGTTGATTTTGTTATAGAAAGGTAACCTAAATATCGTATGAGAAAAAAAAATTGCCATTCAAATAAAACCCAACGTTTTCTCCACCGTGAAACTGGGATTTTATGGGCTTTACACTTTGCGTCGTATATGAGCACTAGCACTTGAATCATTGTCGTTCCAAACGATAAGTGAAAGTTCCTGAGGGCTCCAACTATATATATATATATATATATATATATATATATATATATATCTCAATCTCCATCTTTGAGCCTGAGTAATCAGAGATCAGTTTAGGATGCATCTCGTAGCTAGGAAACTACTCTAACAACTTTGCTACAGATTGTGTACATGCTTACGAACATGCTCGCTATTGCTCCCCTATCATCGATCCGTGATAGTTATCGTAGCTAATACTTAAACAGTTGAGGTTCATCTGTCACTGATAGCTTTTCTCAGTTTGTTTATTGCTAACGTTTCAAACTGACGGCAATTGGCGAGAGTCTAGGAATGACCTAGACTAATATATGATACCCCCCCCCCTCCCACCTTCTCCCCCCGCCACAGGCAAAGCTTATGCTATGATGACTAGATCACACAAGTACTTTTTCTAAAAACAACTAAAAACAAAAGCAAATGTTTGTATGTAGCACATAAACATACACTAGATTACTGATTGTATGTATCATTTAGTAGGTTTAAGTACAAAAACAACTATAAATATACTTTACGTACAATATCTTCACAGCGGTTGAGGGCATACTCATTCAGAAGATTTCGCCAAGATTTGTCCCTGCCTAAAACGACTGCACACAGCGAAGCACAGGGAAACGTTATACAAGGCTTCAGACCATCCTCAACATAGTCGTGCATATTCTCGCTCACAATGTTACATCTAGTTTCCACGACTTACCTCGTACAACTACAAATAATACAAATATCGTTACTACTTGTACACTTGCTTGATGTTAGAGTTCGTACAAGCTCTAAACGTGAATTCACTCAAGCCATAGTTGCACAACGTGTGCGTGAAAAATCCGTTCACCGATCAATGCTGGCCTGAGGCACTTTTCCAACGTAATGCAACTTTTTCTTCTCTTATCACCATCGTATTGGCTTCCTGTCTCACATCTTTTGTCTTGGCTGAGTGATATGTTAATCCTTTAAACGTTCGCTAACCTTGCGGCTCTCTGGTTTGTCTCTCGGTGCTCTTCCGTTTTTTATCCGTCAACTAGCTCGTGTTCGCGCAACCTAGGTGGTCGGTCGGTCGGTCGGTCAGTGGGTGAGAACTGGGACACTTTCCGTGGGAACTTTCTGTTTACAAGGGAAAAGAAATCGTCCTATCGATTTTTCAATTGCCTTGTGGTCGCTTTGTCGAGCGGTACGTACCTCATGACCCGATTCCTGTTTTGTGTATATACATGCTCATGTGTATGACTGTATACTCTCATTCTTCAGTTGCCACAGAGACGCTGCTGTTGTGGCAGAATGACTGATGATACGCAAAGGTATTAGTTTCGTTATTATTTGGCTTGTTCATTTAATGGATTGATAATGACCATGACCACTAGTGCTAGTATTGAGTTGTTCTTGTTGTTTTCTTTCTCCCGACTGGTGAGTTCTCCACGTCGTCCTAATCATCTTGCTTTTTCAGCTTATGCTGGTTTTGCCGCTTGCTTCGATACGCCCGTCGATAGAAATTGAGGAATAGGACTAGAAAGAACAGTGATTCTGTCAGGATAAGCAGGCTATGTTGAAGCGGGTAGCCACATTCGACAAACAATGGCGCCAACGAGTGGATTGATATCGCGCAGAACTGTCCAATTTGCACAATCGTCAGGTACGGCTTCACTCGGGGCAGCCATCGAAAATGAAACAGCGACAGCAAATAATAACTGTACATGAGAACGTGCACGCAGCTGTTGATGCAAATGCAGAACATCGCCTGTCCGTCAAAGCCGTACGTCAGTCCGTACCAGCCGTTGAACACGACGAGTACGTGATGTACGACGTGCAAAAAACTCACATGGCCAAATTTTTTACGCAGCACAAAAAACAGAGTATCGAGGAAATCGGCAATCCGGACGAGCAAATAGTACCAGCTAAGTGAAGCTAGTTGGCGTTTATCGTCGGATAAGTCTCTGGAGACACCCTGGCACCAAAGGTTGTAACCGCCGCCTAAGTAGGTCATTCGAAGGAAGCAAAAAGCGAAAACCATGTTGAGTAGAACTTGACTCGCGTTTGCGGCCGCTATCCAGTATCGAATATCGTATGCTTTTCGATGCTCCATCCAGCGAGGCCCGACCACGGTAACGATTAAAACGTAGCCAGCTAACAGTAGGGTAACGCCGAGCGGGTCTCCTACCAAGGGCCAGCCCTCAGTTCGGGGATCCCGTAGGAGCATGGCTCCCGATCCTGCACGGTGGCTCTACTCTGGGTGCCCGTGCTGCGGCGATTGTTACTGCTGCCTCAGCATCTATCGCAAATTCCGTTGAACTGAACTGAACTGCTGAGGTGAGTTCGGTGGAGACGGCTATTTGCGTACCTATTGTCCTTCATATCGCTTTTATCATGTTGGTACAGGCGTCCGGTACAGTTCTGTCTTGTTTAGTTTGAAAATAATCACAGCTCACAATCACAGTCAACTGAGCGTATTAGATCATACTGGGGAATGGGGTATCCACACGCGAGCGTTGTTTCGCCCAGTTTCTTGTCCTGTCCGTCGTAGCCGACGGCAGGCCCGGCTTGTGTTATGCTCACTTACCCTTTCCTAGTCGGTGCAGCAGAAAAGTCCTCGCGCCAATGTCGACAAATCAGAAAGGGAGGGTACGAGCATTTAGAGTAGGCAGCCTGGAGACGGTAGCGGCGCGGATATCAACGCCCGATCAAAGACACCTCTTCGCACCGGGTGGCTATGCGATGAAGATCAGATTCACGCACACTCCGTCCATCATACACAAAGTGATTTCGAAAAGTGGTGGACCATTCTGCTGCTTTGGAACGGAGCAATGGGAACTAGCTGATGAAAGAGAAAATAACTGATCAAAAAGAATCTATCAAGCAAAAATCATATTCTGAGAGTGAACCGGACGAATGTTTATTAGACAGACGACATAAAATAAACGTTCGCTTTTTAAACGTGCTACTTGTGTTCGACCAGCTACCGATGCCTATGCTATCGTTTGCTTGGCATTGCACGATGAACATAAAGCATACGCAGATATGTAAAAAAGCAACTAGCCTATATTGGGCCTGTAAGACAAGTGTCTAATGAAATCACTCGTTGAATGAGTAGGTAGCAGTATAATCCTCAACATATCAGCGGAGAATTCGACCATTTAAAATTACCATAGTACAAGCCATAAGATATATTCATTTTGGAAGCTGTCAGAAATCGGTGTTGTTAGGGGGTTGGCTTTATAAGACACTTACAAGGAACGCCGTACGGATTTGACGTATCGGGTGCAAAACGTTCACGCCAGAACAAGCTATTAACAGTGTTGGTTCCTTATCTAGGCCGATTAATTAGAACAATGGTAGCGACTGCGATACAAATCACTATAAATCTCGTTTGATTAACTAGCGTATCGATAAACAAAATTGGTATCTTAGTAGAAGTAGAAAGGGTCGTGTTTTTGAATAACAGACACAACCGCAACGATAAGCGTCAGCAAGAGTCCTTGCGTCACATGACTAGCTTACTGAACTAATGCTTTTAATGAAGTCGATCGTGATAAGTAGCTAACCCTAGGTAAAGGTAGCGGAAACAAAAGTCATCCTAACGAGTAGTAATCTAGGAAATTAAGCAGATTCTAATGAAAGCTGCGGCAGATGAAAATCGTATCTACAGCAATGAAAAAATTTGAAAAAATTCTAACGTCAACAATCCCTCTACCATATTAAAAACAATTAGGAACTAAGAGGAATAATTCGTGTCAACAGATCCTTTATTGAGGGTGCGAATTTTCCGTTGGGTTTTTATGTCGGTAGATACCGAACTGCAAGTGTGCGTTAGTTTTTTTGCCTTTTTGAAGAAAAAATTATATGAATACTCATTTATAGCCAAATATTTGTCGTTACCCTAATATTATGTCCCTACGCTATGACCACAAACATATACTACCGATAAAAGGCGTATCAAACTTTTCAAACTCACCAATAAAGCTCAGATAAACTCACCTTCATATCTAATTCTGCTCATTATCGGGTATTTTAAAGTACGTAGTAGAAGCTTTGATTCACCCCGTCGAGTAGCTGAAATGCTCGATCTGAACGTTGATCTGTAGTCAGCTGTTTAGATCAAATGTCCGCAAATAGAATTACCACAAGCGCGCGTGCTGTCGTTTGTATAAAACAAATCATCAATGGTTTCATTAGGTTGGACATAAAGGCAATGTATCACTCGAAATCCGTCTCGAAGTTTACTATAGAGGTGATCATTCAATTCAGTTAGTAGTTCATCAGACTCTTCTAGTAGACATCAGAACGTAGCCAAACGATCTAGATTACTCGGTTTCACAGGATAGTATAAGCAAAGACGCAGTAGTAATACCTATTTTATGACTATGCCTCAATGTACTACCGAAGGCTGTGGTGTTTGTGAACACGGGAAGTGTACACAGGCCCCGCTGTTTAGGACTTCTAGTCTTTCAAAATACGACCCCCTATACCTTAAGCAGTTCTAATCATTGTCAAGCATACTTGAATTTGAGTTACTTAATATGTTTGGTTATCACAAAAAGCCCTAATAATGGTGCCTTCCGTTTGCGTATTTTTCATTATAACTATGGTATCTGCCATATTGTTGGTAAGTATTACACAACTCTTGTGTGTATGCATCTGATGAATAAGTCTAATCCAATAAATACAAAGTCACTGGCTTTATCCTTTTTTTTACAGATATTTCTCAGAAATTCAATGCATAATAAGCCATTTTCCAATACAACCTAATCTGGTTCTAGCCAGCAGAATTTGTTTGTCATACTGATTGGAATTTTAACATGTATGAAAGAGAAATCGAAATCTAAATGTAAAAACTCGTATATTTTATTGGTGCTCTACTGTACATAGTACATTACAGATGTTATGCCAATTTTCTACAGGCGAAGTTAAATAAGTCATAAACTTATATTATTTTATAAAATGAATAAATATAAGCGATAATAAATTATAGCAAGTAAATACTAGCATCAATAAATATAGTAGTAACGAATGTAGTCTAATACAAAGAGACAAAATCACTGCGTTGTTTTCCATATGGACAACACGAGTGATCCGATACTTTGTACAATACAAAGATTCCTTCGTGTAACGTACGGAATTCAAGAAGTCATCATAATTTCAAGTTAACGTAGCCTATCTTATTCTATGTATTTATAGATTCAGTTGAATTCGTTTTGTGTGACATATGGCCGCCTATTGCTTGATGGAATTTCTGAGAACCACATGTCCGATTTTCATCTTGAACTCCATACGTCAGAACGCATTCTCAGTTCGTGCTCTGGCCCGCCTACGTAACGTTACATCAATCGGCGCTGCCCATATGCTCTATCGTATATCTTCTTTTTACGCTATACGTATATTGCGTCGACTGCCAATTACACAGCTAAACTATATAGCAAAAAATTTAATCAACAGTTCATATGCTACAAGTTACCTATGGCATAACTATGTTTAACATTATTATGCAGAGCATATACTGATAAAGCATTACTGCCTTTTGTAGTCTAAAATAGGTTGACGGAATTCCACAAGAATTCTCTCGAATGCTGAAAACGAGCTTGATTTGTTCCGGTGCGACGACTGCTGACGCGAACATTGACCGCTGCATAGGGGCTCACACGCAGCCGCATTCTGCCACAACCATATCCTTCAAGACACGAACTTCGAAACCAGACCTATCCCCCAGAGAGACAATCACTTGCAGGTTTTCATATTTCGTAGGACGACAAGCTGGGGGCTCGGGAAGCTGTAAATGACAGAATAATGAAGCACACATTCTATGTATAATTCAGCTAAATCAAACGATCCGGCTGTCCTTAAATTAATTAGCTGGCAGAAAAATGCATGTTTCTAGTAGAATGCCTGTCTCGCTAACTTTTATATGAAAAAGAGATGTTTCAGTCAGAAAAACCATAGCCGTACCTCTTTAGGCGCTGCTTTGTCGTCCTTAAAAATGTCATTGATCAGACCACGCAAGAAGGCATTGTTATTCTTGCATTGGATAGTCGTACACATGCCCTTGCACATTCCCATATTAAATGTATCAGGGATTGTTACATAATTTGGCGAAGAGCTGAGTTCGTCAAAACTGACGATAAAGTCCTTGCGCTCACATCGGTTTCTGACCCGCGTGTCTCTACGAATGGCCTGTTTTGCCAAAGGCCACGTAATTACCCTGGAGAGGACCGAGGCAAATTTTGGCAGTTTAGTCGACGGAGGGGGATCTTGATCAGTGGCTTTTTCCTTTGCTGCGTCAATTGAGCGACTAAAACGCCCCCCAGTGGGCGACATGAGTTGGGCCCAGACTGTGCAGGTCTCATTTACGTTAGATAGCAAGAAAATCTCGTTGACTTGCACGCCACATCGAGAAAGTTGTTCAGTATCGAGGCGAATCTCGGCACTTCGATGTAACTCAGCATGGTCGAGTTTCGCTACAAGTGACGTATTTACCAAGCGATTGTGTAGAGTAATTGACGATCCGTTCAAGCTCGCCTTAAACGATTTGCAGGGAATCGCATTTATACTTGATGAGTCAAGTTGAAACACGAGGTGAGCAGCACTGTGAGGAGCGTAAGCACTTACGTTGTAAGTAAGTTTCAGGTAATTTCCTTTCTCTGGAAAAAAAATTGAAACAAAAAAAAATTCTCATTTATCTGCGTTTATCTATGTTCGACAATAATGAGCAGTAGATCGCAAATATATTTTCTCTTATAACGGACCATTTCAGGTTTTCCGTTTGATCTGATGCATAGCAGAGATCGGACGTCCATACAATACCAAAGAGAAACACGTAACTGCTCTTTGTCAAATGATATTTCTTCATACCTGCTTTGAAGCTGGTTGGCATTGATGCAGCAACTTTGCCAAGCTTACATTTGGCCACCATGCCCGTATGGTAAATGTCAAGAAGGAGGTTTGGCACTGCAACGTCGTGGACCCGCGCTGCGGTCGAGATGCACGCAAGCATAAACAAGCCAAGTATCTGTCCAGTCGCCATTTTTTCGGAAAACTTTACTGCTAAGAACGCTGGTTGATCTAAGGTCGCTAGAAACTTGAGCGATATACGACAGAATATCTTTGACGCCGTCTTATATGTCTTTTACGAGTGAGGACCAAATCAATAAAATGACCCTCGCCTCAAATGACCCGTTGATGTAACTCAATAAGACCGCACATGGATCTATCTCCCATGTTGTATCAGCCACTTCGCACTTCGTCGTACAAATTTCTCATTAATATCATTCAATTTCCTTAATGTTAAGATAGGATTCGTTACCTCATTGGCCCCACATGTGTTCATTAAGGGGCTCATGTGAATTAATTGTATTAGATTAATTTCAATAGCTGTAATCACTGTCCACTAAAGTGCGTCTCCTAGAATTTCCGCAAGCAATCAAATTATAGTACAAAAATAACAATGTATATATATATATAGGAAAAAAATTACGTCACGCCAGTTGAATATACAGTACAACTGCCACCAATCAGGATATATCCAAGTGTAATGCGACGTTCTTTTCTCGTACCTCACTCTCGTCTCCCGACATTTATCCTTTAGGTAATCCCTATCCTCGTTTTCGGTTTCTTTTCGCATTCATCTTCAGTAAGTGTCAATATGAGCTTTCATAGAGGGTGTTAGGGCAATGATAATAATATTTAAAAAAAATAATAATATTTTTACTTTCTATTCGAAATAAACAACGCCTACTTCTACTTTCAAGTATTATTACGTTATTAACTTGATTGTTAATTGTGTTATTAATTGTACTTTTAGCTCCCCTTCAGATTTGGTTGATATCAAGTACAATTAACGGTTTTAAAGTATACATAAGATACATATAGGAATATCCATAAGATTGAAGCACATTGAACGTTCATGAGCACCAGGGGTTAACTTGAGGATAGGCTGTCAACTTGATTAACCCATAAATCTGGGTAAATAAACTCTTCCTGAAATCCCGCGTAAATGCCTGTAGTCCGTGTTGTTAATGCGACTCATTTGAAACGTCGAGTAGATATACGAGCTAAAAGAAAAGCAGAATTTATAGAGATCATAGTATCAATCGTCGATGCCTGTCCCTTGCCTCCTCCGAGTAAAGCGAGCGGTAATTGTAAGTAAGATGCTTCTAAACTTGAAAATAAACCCCGACATCTTTTCAGTTAATTTCAATTCTTACTAAAAATCTTTATCATGGCTTTACCGAAAAGAACGCGAGGATGTTCGAAAGGGCACGTCTACAGTTAAACGACATGTTACATATTTCGTTGTACAACATTGCTTTTAAGCCAAATTAATAGTATGTAGTACGATCTAATAACGGTGCCTGGTTAGATTTGCCTGAAAGCCCTCACTTGTTCGACCTCGCTCTTGTATACTCCTTGAAGGTTTACCGTAGAGATTCCACAATAAATCCACTAGATATGCTATGCTTATCGGTTCCAGCACATAAGGCGCGGCCTACAACCTAGTGTCAATACAACGCCGCAATGTTATGGAGAACAATTTACCAATGTGAAGACTTCCATAAGGCTAGTAAATATTGTTAACACTAAATTAACACATATAATTTGCGCAACACACCGCCATATGACTAACAAGAATATTTAGATTCCAATATGCCTTAAGAAAACACCGATAAAGCTACAAAAACAAATAGAACGGCCAGATGAAGACAAAGCTTTCTACTCTCTTTGGAAAAGCAATGTAGTTATGTGCCTCTTTAAAATCACGTCAACGGTAACTCGTGGCTCAGACGGGGAGATTAATTAGGATAGTCGACGTGTGGTAGGCAGTAAATGGACAAGAGATTAGCGAAAATCTAACAAAAGCTTGTATTTATTCGGACATTAGATTTGACGCTGCATTTAATTGCTGTAACGGGCCCATAACATCCCAAACCAGCGAAGAGTAAAAACAAAAAGCGAAGAGAAGTTAGACGGACCACTCAGGTAGTTTTACGGAAATTCGAATGTGTCTGTGAATTCCCATTATGTGTGAATTACTCTCTATGAGAAAAAAATGTTTTAAGGGGGACAATTTTCAGACAGACTGCGAGCAGGTCAAATTAATCGCGGTAGGTGGCCAATTGCTAGAAAGGCGCCTCCTGTAACGAGCGCTAAGCCTTGACACTGTCTGCCTATGCGGTGAACCACCAAAGGCGCGCTTTGCGGGGGGGCGAAGAAGTACCTGTTCAACTGTTGACTAAAGAATACAGCTGTTCAAGCGTATTTAAATGTTTTTTTTAGAAATCTGCACGATAGCTCTCGCAAATAAGACTTCTGTCAATTGGAGATCATTTTAGAATGTGTTTAATCAGTTATATTTGAATGTTGTCTCCAATAATGTTTCTTCCCAAAACTCCGCGAAAAACAAATGGGATTTTGTAAATTGACGGTAGTATATCTAGCATTCAGCTCAGTGGTCAAAAACGACTTCAGCGTTTATGATATTGCTCTCATTGTTTTATCTGAGGTCTCATATCTGATTATTCAAATTGATCGCATAATTGAAACGCACGTTTATAGATATCCCTTACCAGCTAGTATAATCACAGCATACCATTTTTTAGGTTTATGATTGCGTTTATGATGCTGCCTACATTTTCATGTACGTCATACGGGGACGTGCTAGATACTCAGCCAGTTTAAGTATTTTTTTGTAAATATTGGTTGTTTCAAAAAGATCTGTATGAATCTAAAGATTTATTAACATTCCCATTATAATATTTGTGAGTATAAGCAAGACGCTCTGCACCATTATCTCGGTTCATGTTTCTCCACTTCTAGTGACTTCTTAAATATAATATTCTAAATGAAATCAATATGAGAAGTGCCGTAGCTTTACACGCAAGTATTTGAACTCATGCGCAGACCCTTAAAGATGTGCGGCCGCCCACGTCACTGTTGCTGTAAAGCAAAGATCATCTCATCATTCTTCAGCGAGCTGCTAAAATAATTCAGCGATAGATATTTAATTCCGTCTTGTTTTCGTATATACTGTACGATTTGCTCTGTAGTGCAGTATCATCGATCATTTCTAATCCCACATTTCAAGATGTCAAAGGTACGTTCCATGACGTTCATAAAAAAACATTTGTTCATTGAAAAGTAAGTCACTATTCTGAAGCACTGACTTGTGGAGGTTCCTTTATAAAGTATGCTACATCGTAACATACCCAGCACGATAGGATCGCGGCAGTATTTTTTGTCAGTTATTAAAAATCTAACTCTACGAGACTGGTCAATTGGTCAAGTTTTGTGCCGGTGACCTGTTCTTGATTGCTTACAGTCGATATTCAAGATGTTAATTTAAGTATTTTTTTTTTTTATTTAAGAGTCGTAACCTTTGAAATGGAGCTTTTTAAGATTCATTTCAAACTGATATTCTAAATATTAGTACCGATCTTTAATACAGCTATGTAAGAAGTTCAATTCACATTGAGCCTATTTTCGCTTTTCTGTTGATTAAACCGGCGAATCAGCTGTCTCAAGTCACGACGAGCCAACAAGTTTGTTTGATACTGTTACCCGATAGTGGTGCAGCGGTTCTATTTATTTGCGCCTAGTACTTTTCGTGGTTGTTACAGCAAACGTGCAACGACCAGTTCTAGTTTCTGAAGGAGTGTGTGATCGTAGTGAGACTTGAGAGGAAGTTGTAGAGAAATGCGTTTATTCATAGCTTTTTGCAAACCGGTCTACTAGCGGGCAATTAATCATCTGGCCGTAGACTATATCAGTGCAGTTTCGAGGAAGTTTTGCAAATTAACACAAACCTTTTTGGTTACTACTAGTCTACTCAACTGGAATTGCAGTGTAAAGTATCTCGAAATGTCGTGCAGTAGTGAGAAGATATCATTCGATATCGATCCGGTTTTGTGCGCGCCTCCGGATGGCGCCACTTTGGAAATTCTACTGGGACAAATTTTTATGTTATTTGAACGGCTACGCAAAAGTACGTTTTCAGCGCAATCTTGTGTAAAGTGCTCGTCAATGAAAGAGAACTTTCGCAAGTACAAATCGCTGACGCAACGTCGAATAGATGGCCTTGAATTGCAGTTGTCGGCTGCTAAAAAGAAGCTATCGCAGTCTACACAGTTGCAAGGACAGACCCAACCGCAGAAAAGAACTGCAGTTGAGATACTTGCCGAAGACTCTACGCTATTCGATACGCCGGAGAAGAAACCGATTAACAATGAAGAAGTGCCGGAAACCCAAGATAATTCCGCCATTGCGAAAAGCAACGAAATCCCACTAGTATTAAAGTACGATCGATCTCCTGGGGCTTCAGAGCAGCTTGAAGCTGGAAAACACAGTCCAGGTAAGAAACGGCTAGGCCAAGCCAAAATCCGTCTTCGTAGAGAGCCGTCGTGGGTCAAGACGGAGCTTCAGGCGCCAAAAACAAAACGAGGGAAGGCAACCAATGAGAACATCTTTAAGAACAACCAGTTAGAATTCAGTGAAGTCGGAACGGCAGACGGTGAAAATACAAGAACTGAAAATGTACAGCAACATAGAGATATCCAATCTAACACTTCACTAAAGGAGTCCGAGTGCGTAGAATGTCAGCGGTTTTTTAAAAATCTAGATCCCGGTTTGGTCCGCGTCATGAAGCGCTGTTCAAAGCATCGTTATAAATCTAAACAAGCCGTTGTCCCATCGGAAATGTGGCGTACAAAGATGCAAGATACCCTCGAATTAAAAGCTGCTGGGATCTGTGATGAGACTTTGCCGTGTGATCTCAATCCAAATAAATTCAAGAAGAAAGGATTTCTTTAGTTAGTTTATCTGATGTCTAAACGGGACCGTAATCAAAATATTTGTGTGTACAATTCGCAGGCGCTCAAATATTTATTAGGAGCATAAAATTCTTAGGTTGATAGGGTACAGGCGTTGAAATTGAATGCTCGATGTAACGTACGGGCTGAAGAAGTGGGAATGTTGTGGGATGGTGTAATGGAAAAGCTTTATAATCAGTAGGGTTACCGGGCAAGATCAATTTTTTGAAAAACTTTTTAATGAGTTACGATCACCGATTGTGGTGGTAAACGATGACAAATAAGTGCGATTTTATCAGCGTTTAACAAATAACACGTTGGTCGTATAATGCGTATCGTGCGCTGTCTGTTTAGAGGTATACAAATATAACAATACATATATACAGTGTATATTTGTAGGCAACCCGGAGTAAGGTTTGTAATGTTGTTGAATTTGATAGAAAAATAAATAACGCGTATTTATTTTTGTCGTCTTAGTATGTTTATTCCTTATACAAAACATAAATAGAATGTATGAAATTTCGGAGACCTAAAAATATTGTTTCGCTGAAATGTTATTAATAGATATATATATATATATATATATCAGATAAAAGATATATATGTATATATATATATATATATATATACATATGTATATATAATGAAACGAAATTTCTTGAATAAATAGCGGTAAAATAGCAGGCTTCAATAGGCATTTCCACTTGTCCGAAAGTGGGCCAGGTGTCCGTATCCAGATGTGCGTAGTCTATCTCAATTGTTTGGCGTATGTTCCAGGTACTACGAAGTGTAACATAGCCCAAGAAACGAAAAGGTAGTAGCTTGCATATAGTCAATATACAATTTCATCAAAATGAAAATGCGCCTCATAATCACATTTCAAAACCATTACACAAAATAGCGTAAGGGTCTCTAAGGGATATATCTGGAACTCCTTATTTATAGATATTATTTATATACATTCATCATTAAATCATTATATTGGAAAAGAAGTTTTCATCGCCCTATCTTGTAACATCATGTTTGTTATTATAAACAAGCTAAAAAGGAAAATAGCCTTCATTGTAAAAGACGCGGAACATGAATGTTTGATTGAGCGCTTTCGTGCTGATAACACAAAAGCGGGCAGCGATGAGTAATGTAGTGTTTTTTTAAAATGACTTTAACGTTTGACAAACTACGTAAACATGTTATAACTATCACGTTGCGCTACATATGTAGGGTATAAGTTATTTCATATAACCGTGTGTAGTTTGCAAATATAAAACGTATATGTCAAAGTACTTCTATGCCGTTCTCTAATGAGGAATTATGGATAAAGGTGATAATGATTGATTGTATGAACAACAAACTAGGAATAGAGTATCTTCTATATAACAGATAAAATTCAGCCAACAATTGAGGTTACGACGCATATTATGATATCGTATATAAGATGTGCCAAATACTTGTTTCGTTTCGATCTTTTTTTTGTGCGTTTAAATAAATAGTTAATAGCGGAGTGTCGACCTATAAACACTGCAGCAGTTGTGGTTGGCAATGATGGAATGTTACTGTATGGAGCAGCGTTTGTTTTTGGTAAAAAGTTACTATCAAAATAGAGAGTCGATACTCGGTAAATGTCCCTCAGAATACAGGCACCTTTCATTGACGAAGTTAGCTATTAGGCGAATTTGAAGAAATTAGCTAACTCGAGTATAAAGTAAGGAGCGAGAGGCTAATAGGAAGAATTGTCCAGACAAATGACAATATCGCTGCAGTAAGGAGTGTGCATGTCGATCATATATGACCTCCGCACGACGACGCGCTTAACAACTTGGATTATCTACGAGCACTTTACGACGTAATTTGATGCAAGAGGTGCATTTCCAACCCTGTAGGGTACAGTTTAGTGAGTAATAATTGTCAACGCCCTGAAACTCCTATTCGTAGAGTAATTGATACTGAATTATGCAGGATCGTGATTTAAAATTAAACAAAAATCCAGTCGTGCAAGCGACCCCAGGAAAAGCATTAATTGACCCTTCTTTCCGTATATAGTACAAGTAAATTCTCTAGGCTGCGCTGTAAAAATAAAAATGTACAGAAAGATTAAATTCCAAAGGCACTGAAATACTAACTTTTGACGTACTCTAAATATAGTAGATATATTGAGCCTTTGAAATACTAATAGATCCCATTTGTGGTAATTTCAGGTATACGAGTTTGAAGTGGAGATGACGTGTGAGGGCTGCTCCGGAGCAGTTAAACGAGTCTTAGGAAAGCTTGATGGCCAGGGCGTCACGAAAGTCGAGATTGACCTCCCAAATAAACGGGTATGGTAGTTCTAAAGCTTATGTGGGAAGTCTTTGCGCTCAGCTTCATATACATCGGGAGATTAGCTCATCTTACATAGATCATGCCACAGGAAGAATATTCCTTTCAGGCGCCGATAGAATATTCATATTCGGAACAGATCCCCAATAACAGGAAAAAAAGTTTTAAGGCAGGTTCTAGGTCGGGCGAGCCAGCATGGTGGACTTCACTTCTTTTTCTAAGCGGCTTTCGATCAGTCGTATCTAATTTGATGTCAAAGAATAATCAGATCTTATTATTACCGATAGACTACAAACGATAGACGCACACTAATACAGAAAATATGTTGTTCTTTTTGTAGGTATTCATCACGTCAACGTTAACTTCTGACCAGTTATTGGAGGTGATTAAGAAGACTGGAAAAAATTGCTCATATATAGGGGAAAAGCAATAAACCTGGATACAATGACGCAATGCGACGGAATTACACATTTATCCGTTACTTAAATTATGAAGATTACTGTTTCTCCTGATGCGTGGGGTAAACAAAGGAGAGCCTTGAAAGGCAACTTAGCTTTTTGATTGCCTTTTAGCAGCTCCCGTCTTGCCAAATGTCTCCCTATGAATGACTTTTCCAATTTTTACAATTCACCGTACGCGACCGCTAATGGTGAACAGAAAAAGAAAACATAATGATAGGATAATAGAACAAACCATATAGTTAAGTAATCATAATCATATTGTAATTTATTTTGTTTATAATAAATATGCACTTGCTGTTTCAATTCACATACAAAATATGGCGTTGACACGACTTTTCGTATAACATAATAGTATGTTACAGTTTTATGTTTTAATAATATGTAATAATAACTTATGTTTAACGGTCAATACAAAATAGTCTTTCGGTTGCTCGATAGAGCCTGGATAATTCTCAGATACCTTTATCTATGTCATGGCCAGACCATTGTAGTGCTGCGTCTATTAGTAGGTACTTTAAGTCCTTGTATTGCTGGTATAATATACTGTAGCTAGCTAAGCAGGGTGGTATTTAGACAAACAGTACCCTTGACTACGGAATGGAAGAGCCTACAAGAAAATAATAGAACTTACTAGGCGTGCGCGTTTAAATGGCTTACACTAAGGGTGCTAAGGAGGACTAATATCAGAATAGTATTGTCCTGTATGCTACCTTACAGGCATACAACAGTATCAACAATTCCAAGATAAATCCAGAAGCGTTCCAAACTGGTGTAGGGCTTCCGTTGTAATAAGCAGAAATTAGCGATTAATCTGTTGCACAGAATTACTTCCGACTAATATCTGCATTGGTCTATTTTGTAACAAATGCATCATAGACGTCCTTAAAGCAACTTCTTTTAGATTTGATCTGAGGATGTACATTAACAGATACGCATTCCACATTTGGGTTTGTGTTTTTTTTTAAATCATCATCATAACAACTCATAATATATAGTTCAGGGTTAAATTAAAATAAAAACAGCCAAGGCAAGAGTATGAACGAGTCGGAACCCACCAAGCAGCACTGGGTTCAGACTAGGATTGAATGCCAGCTTTGAATCTTTACTTTGCCAAAAGGAGTCCAAAGATAGTGACAGAGGTTCAAGAATGATATAATTAAATATTGAATATTTAGTATTTTATTAATAAACAATGTTATCAATATACAGTTTTATATTGCATATTATTCGTATTTCATTTAGTCGCTCGTACCTTTCTTGCACGTTGTGCAGGCTCTTCACAGACACTTGCAAACTTACGACACAAATGCCCTATAATATAGTGCGTCGTATGGTATGTAAACAAACAAGGTTTAGATCCAGTATGGTACGCAAACAATTCTAATTAACCTTTTGCGTTACCTGTCAGCGTTCAAAGCTAGTAGTGACATTACACAATGTATGGTTACATATATCTTGCGCAGTGGCGTGTCAAACACGATTCCATCTATCTCATGTTTTTTTATACTTGCAAAGGTCCGCTTTCTATCACGTAGCGCAACGTAGCCTGTTTCACATATAGTTGGACTGCAGCTACTCTGAAATAGTGATTTCGATGAGCATAATGTGTAAATATCCTACTGCATTTTGATGGTAAGCCGTAACGCATCGCTCTGGTCATAGGGAGCGTTGAATAACAATAATGGATTGGAGCAAGACACGACCTTGCTGCAACTGAAACAGAGGCGATTACGATATCTTTAGTTAATTGTAATGAATAGCAATAATAAGAAATATTAACCGTTTGAAGGCAGTAAAGTCACCAAACAAGCACCTGCCTTGTTTTTTTACAAAAAGATTAATATCAAATTGGTCAATAATCTCGTAAAAATAAAGGAAAACTATCAAAGAAAGTTCAAAGAAAGAAACAGAAATAATTATTTGTCCCGAATTTACTTTTTGCATTGCATATTATTGTTTCTCATATCATTATTTTAGTTTTTGTGTGGGAAGGCTTTATAAAAATACATTTGTAATAAGCCGAAGGTTAAAAAATACTATTCTCGTTCCGTGAACTAAGACATTTTCGTTGCACTAATAGATCAAAAAGTAGACTAATCCAACAACGGTACAGTCAGCACTTCGTTAGAGTGAATATAGGAACGTAATGTAACATTATTTATACCGAACGTATATACAAAGCTATAGAATGAGTTCACTGACAAGTAGCATAGTTGTGAAGCTTAATTTTACTATTGGGTTAGGTACGATAGCTTGGTGATTACAAAGGGTTCTCATTTCATTCTTACTTTTTGACTTTACTAGCAGAAGGCAGAAGTTCATGAATCATATACATAAATGTGTGGTGTATGCCTTTTCACTGCAGTATACGAATTGATCGGGCTGTGTCGAAGAAGTCGGTAATGCGAAGTCGCCAGATGTCACCGATAGCCGGACGGATATGACGGCACAATTCGTGTTGAATTAATTGACTTTGTCGCTGATTTATAGCGTTTGTTTTCCAACAAAGATATGAACAGCTCGTCCTACGGTTTCGACATTGCTGAAACCTGTGCCATTTTCAACAAATAAGCATAAGCAAATAGAGTGGCGCGTCCGACATCTTCCTTCACAACATTTGTTGACATGAAGTGCTGCTAAGGAACATCCGTAACGGAACGTAGGTTTAATCACTGCTGATTATATCTGTTATTTGTTATATATGCAAAGCGATTCTTGAAAGATTCTGTGTTATTATGTCACGAGAAAATCATACAGTGCTAGACGATAAACACCCGATCTACTGCCTGTCTATGGTATATATTGATTTCAGACATCATCGTGAATTAGCGATTAGTGGCTAGACATCGGTTATGGTATCTCAAAGTAGGCAGAAATCCGAGCAACAATGAGCGATTATTTTGCGGCTGAGAGCGTACAGCGACTTCCTTGACAACTATTAATTGGCGGTTCCATCCAGACGATACAATAAGCATTTGCAAAGGGCCTAGTCTAAGAGCACTTGACTGGTAAATGAATTTGTCCGTTCAAAAAACAAATTCTATGGGTTCTCTTTAATTAGCTTTGTTGATTGCTTTTGCGAACATCTGCCTGTCAGACTGTCAAAGAGACCAACCTGGGCTCAAAACGCCGATTAAGCATACTACTTTATGTCACCCAAGTCGTCTAAGCGAAAATACTTGAATCAAGCAGATAGTTTCTTCGCACACTTCGTTCAACACCGTTTTTCCTTGTTCCGAGTTCCTCTACATACAAAAAATAATACAACTACTACTGATTGCACCTTCCTCTGGTGCGTATCTTACCCCGTCGATTGGGCTGTTTTCGTTCCAAGCATTGTCATTGCCTTTAGCTAGTGTACAGTTAACCCAACACTCGCGTTGTAGGAAAGAAAAAGTACAATGGTGACTTGACTAGCTATCTCCTCAGGTATGCATTGGATATCTACTGTCGTTGCTCTAAAGGCACAAAAGTACTGGAGGATGAACGGTATTGAAGCTAATAGCGAAGTGACACATCAGCAGCCAAATAAATATATCGAGGCGATCTAAGTATCTTGGAAAAATTCTTCTTTTATCAAAAAAATAACCACATGTTCCTTGTACTCATAAGAGCATAAATCAACATGATATTGTTTTCATTGAAGTTCATGAAATCAGACGTATATTAGTTGTTTTTTCAAGCTTTTTGTGATACCGTCGTTCAGCAACAACATTAGTCGTTATGACTGTGCAGTGGTAACATTTTTGGCAACGGTCTATCGAACCTAAAGCCAACCTGCGTTAGGAGTAAGCTTTCTACGTTTCTGCACTGAGCTCCCACTGTGACTAGATGTACCTATTTGCCAAGCAAAAGCCAATGGCTCCAGGCCTGGTTCTTGGCCGCGTCGGTGCGTGCTGTGTTGATTTGTCTGCATAGAGCCGATACTGTGCTAGAGAAAACTTGATGACTGCGTACGGAAAAACAAGACATTTATCTCCAAGAGCTTAAGCAACCGAAATAGGTACTGTGACAAGTTTGGTGATGCTATGGTGACAGGAAGCAGGTATCTATCAAATATAGGATACGGCGCCGTATCGCTGTGTTATGTCAATTTAGCAGATTGCTTTCTTTTTCGGTAATACTTTGCATTTTAGCTATTAGCAGTGTCAACAAAAGTTCAGAGTATAAAACATTAGTATTTCTGTCATCTCTTATGTTGCTAAACGCTGTGCAATGCATTTTTGGTAGCAGGATACAGCCAAACAGACTTCATCGCATCAGTAAATGAAAAAGTAGCAGTTAAAAAAAAAGTTAGGGGAGGGAAGAAATCAATGATCATAGCTTCATCTGCCGTGCACAGACCAACTTGTTGTTGTTCCAGTTCATTAAAAATTTACGGAGAGCAGTATTGCTTCGTTATAGTTTGCCTGCTGTGCTAAAGTATTATAATTTGAGACCTTTTTGGGTATGGCAAGATTCCTCACGAAGGTTTCACTTTAAATTCTTAAAGCTTCATATTGTAACGCATACAACTATTAGCCAAAGCTAATAAATGAAAAGGATAAATAATTAACATGAAAGATGGTCGGCGTTTCCAAGTGCTTGTGATGTATTAGGAAGCGGCAAGTAACTCTCATTCGAACAAATTCATTCAAATTCTGGTTGTGAAGTGTATGTAAAATAGCTATCAATCCATAGTAAATACTAATAACGTTTTGCTAGAAAAACAAATTGCCTGTTATAATCTCTTTTTGATAGGTATACTAAACCTGAAATCCGGGGTGGCATCTTCATAGAAAACCAACGTGGCAGGGAAGATGTCTGGTGCCGCTCCAGCGTATTATTAGAAATTTAGAGAATAAGTTCTATTTATTGTTTAATAAAAGGCGATGGCTTCACATTCCACTACTAAAAACGAACGAACTGAAATAGGGTTTACGTTTTTGAATCTGATTTACCGATTTTCTGTTTATCATAAACGAACTGTAAGGTAAGGCCCTTAACTACGGCTTCTTTTGACCCACTGTCATTTGTTCAGGAAGCTTCTGTATGCATATCAATATTTTCAATATAAATTTTTTTCTAAGCATCTCCGATGAGAATACTTCTGTTATCTACTGGGACTATACATAGATCACTGTATATATATGATATCATATAAAGGAAAAATCGAAGAGAAGCTTAATTGTACTATGGATTAATTATGCTGCAAGTTTATCTGAAACATAGTCCAAACATCGAACTTCATGTTTTATAGAATTTAATAAATTAGAGGAATTGTTTTCGGGTAACAGATAATATTGTTTTCTAATCGAAAAGTGTCTTATATTTGTTGTATTTTTAGAATGAACAGATATTGTGCCTCTTCTGGCATGCACACGCCTCTTTTATGGTTTCTGTAAACCAGCATCGGTGTTCAGACCGAGAACCGTGATGTGAGCCACTATTAAGCTCTTTTTTAAACCCAGAATTTAATTGAATTTCGAACGTAAATATAAATGTTCTCGTGACAAGCTTTTGATAATTATATATGTCGCAGTATCATTTTCTGGTAATAATTCGTTAGCAGTGCTCTATAGAGTGTGGGCACCCAACCGGACGCCCAGTTCTTCTCTAATCTCATTATCGTACGAGTGAAGCTTAGCCCACTATTCGTTTCATAGGAGACAATTGCCAAGATGAGTGAGCAAAATATTGATGCTATTTCGAGTAAATGAAAGTAGGTGTCAACCCGAGCCGCATATTATGTCTTAATAGCAGGAAAACATTGAACAGCTCATAGTTCAATAAAGCTGCCCTAAGCTTCCGCTGCTGCGTCCAGGTAAAAAGTAACAAATAATTACAGTTTAACGTGGAGATATATGCTTTACTTCTGGCTATAAAGTGTAAAGAAAGAATATATGTGCTTAAGTTTCGTTAATTTAATAATAATTAATTATTAAATAATAACTAAACATAATTAACCTTTCGTTAATAATGCGTTTACACTAACCACCTTGCCCAGATCATCCATTGTGACAAATCAAAGCACAAAAGCGATGCCGACTGGTGCAGAAGGTAAGTTTTTTGAATGAAATTATAGCGGCTCTTGAGATGATATCAGTGCTTTTGAACTCGCCGCAGGTCACCAGCTATGGTCCCACCTATAGCTTATACCGACTGTATGACAGATTAGCAAATTATTGACTAATAATCATTTAGAGATCAAGTTGTTAGCAACCGTCTTACACTACTTGTCGTACTACTCTTGAAGTCTTGCTTCTGAGCATTCTACTGCGCGTTTCTCGAAATCTCTTTTTAAAGTATCAAAGCTGTAATATCAATCAAACGAATATTGTTTTCTTTGTTATTACACTTTTCCAAGATAAAAAATCGCCTGAAATATTCAGTGGCATATAGTATAGAAATACGTTCACCGAACAAACACTGGCCACAAATATATTGCTCCATTAGGATAATCAAAACAAATTAAAAAAAACAGTTTTTTCTTATTTTCTAATGATCATTACATTCAGTCATTTCTGATGAAAATAATCCGGCAGGGGTAGTCGATCAAGCATCACTAACCACATAAAGAGGTGTAATTGAATGAACAAGCATCTTTAGTTGCAAACACCCACATATTCATCAAATATTATCGCAGTATTTAGTTGTGAATCTAATTGCGTAATTTATTCGCATTATTAGAAACATATATACCAGGTGAAACAACCGTATTGATCTTATTAAAAAAGAAATCCTCTAGGACAGCAAAATCCGTCGAGCTGAAACATCAGTTGCATAGCAGAGTTTCATGCCTAGTAGTGCCGTTAGAAATTGCTCCAAATAGATGGCTACGTTTAGTACGCGTACAGTTGTCTGGTTTTAAATTTAGACTACTAAGTGTTTATCGGGCACCTACAAATTAAAACTGTTAAGACCAGTTGTATAGGTTTCAAGTCATTAACTACGCTGAGTCGGGAGCCCGCCTGTTCATATATATATATACGTTGTCAAGAACGATGATGACATGGGGTCCGTTTTGAATTACCCATTACTTAGAGCAAACAAACTTTGCGCTTTAAATAACATTTAAAAACCCATTAAATGCTTTTGACATCTGTAGCACCATGTCACTCGGGAATTGTGGGTTAAGTCGGAAAGAATCGTATGCTCTAATACCCAACGCTCGGTGTAAGAAAAAAAATGTGTGTGGAAAATTTGCCCATGATTTTGTCCAAATAAAATAAAATAATCAATAAACAGTTGTACCAAGATATGATAAGCAAAACAGTGGTTTAAAAATATAATAATTGTCATGTATGATCTCATATTATTGAAGCTGTTCATGTTGAACTAAGAGGAATTCTGAAAGAAGCGTGAAAGCAAATTAATAGAAAAACATCTTTAGAGCATAATCAGCTGGTACCGGTCAGATGATTGTCTGTTTTTATTTTCAAATTCGCTAAATTTTGTGATTGAAACATCACAGCTAATGCGCAAAGAAAGCCAAATATAATTATGGAATTAAACGTAAGATTTGACTATACCCCACATATATATATATATATATATATATATATTTTTTTTTTTTAACAAGATCAGACAAGTGTCAAGCTTTGCCTGCTTATGTTAATGCTGGCCTTTGTCCTAAACGTTATACTGGAGCATCAACTGGTGACTGAAATCCGAGATTGTTGAATCAAAAATCCGATCAAACCAAAAAAACTAGCTAAGAACCGTTGCTGCTAAATTACAGGAAATTTGTTAAGATTGAGTCCGATTCTTAGCGTTTGTCTAGGAGCAGTACAACATTCCTCGCATAAACGAAGCAAATTGTGTACCATATTGAGCATATATTGTTACGTAGTCCACTAATATGTTAAAAGCGAAAACACTTATGTGTTTACGTTGTATATAAACAGGCCAGAAGCAAAAACCTGGATTATGGAAAATCTCGTATCAATATTATTTAAGATTTGCGTATTAAGTTATCTCAGTCGGATGACGAAATTTACAACCCTGATAGGTCGTGGAGTGTATAGAAGCCCAACGCAGCTGATTTGCAAATGAAAGCAACAGGCTGGCGTAATAATTCAGGTACTTTTGTGGCCGAGGTTTAGTTCAACAACTCACACGCAAATGGATATAAAAAGAAGTACTTATTAATTTTTTTTCGCGTTATGGTTTTAGCCAAGCGCAGAAGGGACCCTTTCGAGCGGTTTCTCAATATGAGGATATTTAAAAACAAGTCGACGCCTGGCCGTCAGCGCTCGAGAGCATTTGATTGTGGATATTTCACGGAAACTTACATTACTTTCATAGTAAAAACATATCCTCCATAGCTTCCCGCATCCTTCTTTCTGTAGCTGATTTACTTTTTAAGGGGAAACAGCTTGGCAAACAGGTCAAACAAACTAAACATATAATTTCCAACGAGCAGCCTTGGGAAACGCAACGTAAAACAAATAAAACTAAATCTACCCCATATAAACATACCTACCGAAATAATGTACAAGAATTCTGTGTAGGTTTCAACAAATTAACAGTGATTCAGGTTCTAGCATTCGAACTTGCCGGGAAAGATACGTTGTATTTGAAAATAGAGTAGGGCCAACGTCGGAGCTCAAAGGATATCTATCTCTAAAATAACTGTAAAAACAATAGATTGGTCGTTCGAATGAATATGAACAGACCCAGGTCATCTTAATGAGAATAGAAACTTCTTTCGCATAGAAATATGGACATTCAATTAGCATACGTAGTCATGTATCCCAACTTAGTGTATATTACTGTGTAAGAATCTCAACATTTAAAATATCCCATTTGCTGAGAAGGTTCCGGCTACTTCTAAAACATGAGTCACTATTTACCAGACGAATCGCGAATAGTAACAGGAATATTTTAAACAAAAATATCCCTGTTACTATTCTTTATTATTACTTATTTCCTTTAGTTAAAATAAGTAGTTGCCTAACGCGATTTTCACTAACGAGCGTTTACAGAGCTTATATTCGAGTGAATTGAAATTGCGACATCTTCATTTCGTGACGGTTCAAAATGTTGAGACGTTTAGCGGAATTTCACGTGACGGTCGCCGTTGTTTCGATACTCGTTGTCACCCTACTGCCGTTCTTACCTGTACCCCTTGATTTCGAGCCGGAAGCCTACAAGTGAGTTGCTCTTCTTTCGTTTTACGTGGCAGTCATGCAACCGACAATTATTGGGGTTTATAAGGATTCATTGAAATCTTACTTGAGCACCAGTATATTTGCATATTTCGTAAGGGCGGTAGAGCGCGAACCGATTTACGTATGTGGTTTCGTTGATTTGACTCTTTAGCGTAACTCTACCGAAGTTTGAAGGCCCGCTTGCCCCAAACGATTTTCTGGATCACGCAAAAATTCTTTTCCATCATCAGCTGCGAGGCCCGGAGTCCTTTGCTGTTAAGGATGGCCTGATCTACACTGGAACTCAATTCGGGCACATTTACCAGATTGACCCAGTGAAAGAAACTATAACCAAGGTATCCATACGTGGTATCTGCATAATTTAAAATCTTAATGGATGGGTCGGTCTAACTTACTAACTTAGACTTACAATTCATCTCTGAATAAAATACGTACGCACGCGTGCACAAGTTCGAAGCGCAATTCTCGGCAGTGAGCTTATGTGCACATACAGTTGATTTTAATCGCATAACTAGCCAGTAGCAGAGGTTTGTAAACGTCTTCTGTGCTGTATTACTTTGCCAAGGGCAGGTTGCCAATACAGGCAGTGACTGCGAGGGCCTTCATGATGAGGAAAGATGTGGGCGTGTATTGGGGCTCCGTTTCGCCCCCAGTGGGGAATTGTATGCAACGGATGCCTACAAAGGATTGGTAAAGATCGATGTTAAGACAGGTTAGTTTGTATTTCGATTGAGATGGTCATTGAGAACTAACGTTGTGTCAAGGAATTTCTATTAAGTGAGCTCTACATAAAAAAGTCGTGCGAACAAGCGTCAAACTAATAGTTAATTAAGATCTACTTTTTAAATTTTTGTCGACAGGTAAAGTCAACGTTCTTGTAAAAGTCGGCGAGTATGTAGGGTCATCAAAACTTTTGTTTCCTGATGACTTGGACATTGACGATGATGGAGTTATCTACTATTCGCAGGCCAGCACACGCTGGGGACTCCATCAGATCGTATACATCATAATGGAGCACGATAACACTGGAAGGTAGACAACATGGGACGATAGCACTTCAATCTACTGCAACATATTCTTAGTTCGTGGACTGTTGTTTTATATATTTTCATATATTTTTAGTTTAAATTATTCGATATTTCGTTTCTGGAGATAACCTTTGTCATTCATATCGTTAGAAAGTGGATATTGATTTCGTATTTTGTGATTATTTTTTTACAGGATTTTGACGTACGATACCAAGACAAAAAGAAGCGATGTTCTTAAAGAGAATTTATACTTTCCCAACGGCCTTCAGCTTTCAAAAGATCGCACCGCCCTTCTCTTTTCGGAGCTACTATCCAAGCATGTCATGAAATACGAGCTCGAGGGTCCGAACAAGGGTTAGTTAAATTTACACGAATACGAAAGGTTCTCGCTCGTAGGTGGCGAATGATGAATCGAATAATGGACAATAGTGACCTAGATATAGAACAGATCATATGACCACTAACATTTTAAGATAGCTCTTTATTTAAACTAGAGTGGGTTTTTATTCTACCGAATTACTCTGGACATTAGTAGGTGATCAGTGATGCAACTATGTACTTAGAGCTAATATAGATAAATTTATATATGACTATTTCAACTCAACATTAATAAAAAGAAATGACTGAAAAGAGCATATGCTATAACTTACGCTACCATGCTATGGACATTTTTAGCAAATGGCGTGGAGCACATTGATTACTAAGAGCACCACACTGAGATATTTACCGAAAAGTCGGTTTACTTTTGCACAGGTAAGGTCTCCGTCTTCTCTGAAAACTTACCTGGTGATTGTGATAATATTCGCTTGACCAATCGTGGTACGTACTGGGTGGCCATTGGTGTTGCACGATCTGCTGACAACCCCACGATTTTGGACTCAATCGCGCCGTTTCCTCTCATTGCGAAGACTATAATGCGTTTTTGTTGGCTATTGGGGCAAGCTTTGGAATCGCTGAACAAATTCATCAAGTACGACACAATTCGGGATCTTAGCGCCGATGTAGGTTTTGTTTTTGTAATGCTTCGTAAAACAGATTTGATTTTCTATTTTTATATACACAGATAAAAATTAGACTATAAGGGTAGCGCGGGTTGTAATTCGTTCATGCATTTTGTACTGCCTTCGCTAACTTTGCAGTTTACACACGGCAAGATTTTGTTGAAGATGGCGCGTGAAGGTGGTGTCATTGTTGAGCTCGGAGACAATGGCCAAATATTGCGAAGTCTTCATTCGTCTAACTACACACTTTTTTCTGAAGTTATGGAATATGACAAGAATCTCTACATTGGATCATTTATTAAGCCGTATCTCCTTCGAGTACCTGTGCCTTCATCGTGAGCTTACGATGAAGACAATAGATTTCTTCGCCTGTTAGACCTTCTTAAGCCACCATGTGGAATCCGAAAGAGGCCGGCCAGAATTTAGTGTATTACATTCCAGATACATAAGGCTCACTCAATGGGATTGCTTTTTGGAATGGAGGAGGGGAATGTATCAATAGGGATGAGGGAATGTTAGTGACGCGATGCAATTGTTACACTAAATTTTTGCTAGAACTGTGTACTTCTTAAGGTTCAGCGAGAAGTATCTATCTGGAATATCGTTTTTTTAATGTATTTCTGAGCCTAATGTAAATACAATAAAATCGGGTAAAATGTGTAACTGCTTCATCTTATTACCTGTAATAAATATTTATCTAGTTAGTGCGGGGGGTCTATCGATTCACCTAAATATGAACAATTTTTATCAGATGCTTATAGGGAGCTAAAACATTTACTAATAAAATCCTGCTAGAAGTCAAACAAATAATAACAAAAAAAGCAAGAAAATTTAAATATTAATAAGTATTGTCGGAATTTCTTTTGTAAAACACGTTACAGGTGTTAATACTAGTTCAAGATGCCGTAAATGACGTTAAATCTCTACAGCCACATTTGATTATCGTAAACCGGCCGCAATGTCCTTTTTGAGATCGTAACAAATTGGCGAGGATAGTACTGTACTAGCTACCAGTTTTCCTTACCGTGAGTTTCAGCTTGCCTCATGGTATAATTATTATTATTATTATTATTATGTGGAATAATTAATGCTTCAAGGGTGATCGCATTGTATTCTATTAAGAGGATCTAGTAAGTATTTTAGAAGAATTTGATGGTTTAGGCTTCTGAAGAGATAAATTACATGCGTATAATGCCCGAATGAGGTCGTGCTCCGTCCGAGTGTAAAAGTACAGGTAACGCACCAAAAACTACAAAGAAGTATTTCGAAAATGTTCTGTATAAACCACTGATTCATTGTAATCTATAGAATAGCTAAGTAAAGTCACTGGCAATTATAAAGACCCAAACTGTTTCGATAATTAGTTGTGTATTTTATACAATGGAAACTACGTTCGATTTTTCCAAAGACATTTTGTTCTGCAAAAATGTTCAACTAAATTTAGGTTTTTCTCGGACAATAACGGAGCGACAAACACTAATAAGCTGCTTATATGCGACAATATACGCCGAGTCATCCTAGCTTATTCTTAGCTTAGGATTATTGTACTATTCAACAGCGCATAAATCAAACAACGTTACCTATATATTTGTCTCAAAAAATTTAAAACGCAGCCAAATTATTCAGTAATTTATTACAAATAACAATCAAAAATCAATTATACATTTAACATATTTAATGCATTGGTGGAAAAAAGAAATTCCCACCACCGTTTTCTCCTGGTTTTCAGTCATCCTCAGCTATATCATTCAACTCACCCCATCCAGCCTATCCCCTCTTGAACCCACAAACCTGTTCCCCCCATCAGCTTCACCATCATCCATTATCCGATGCAATTTACCTGTTATACCATCATTGTATATATTCCACTGTTATGGTCGAAATGTTACTACGTTTTTACTTTATTTTTTCACGCATTCTTTTCGGCATCGTTTCCTCATATTTTTCTCTTCACTTTTTTTCAGCTACTGCCAGATGTCTCAATAGATCTTTCAATCCATCACTTCCATTCGATAGTCACCATACTCGTCATTGTCATTTTTATTCCCTTTTTCGTTTTCCTATATGCATGTGGTCGCGTACTTGCGATGCACGCGCTTACGTGTTATTTACTATTCAACCGCTGGCGTCGTTTCTTTCACGTATTTAAACCATACTTTTTCATAATATACCGTAAAAGTAAGCGGGAAGTATGTGTAACCTACCCGCGCTCGTTACCATTCCCTCCCCCTCATCTATTTCATTGTTAGCTTTGCTTCTCTCTACGCATAATGTGACTTTTAAGACTTTGTTATTTGTATTTGTATGATGCGCTTGTATTAGTTCTAGCATGTAATACTCTCTTTGTTAATGAAAGTGTTTTTGTTAAATTTTCACTATCTTTCTATATTTCATCTTTATTGTTGGTGTTCTTGTCGCTTTGTTAATCACGTTCCTTTGGGTCGTCAATCATAATAAAGAAATATAATCATCGTAATCATTTATTATCACTTTCTCAAATAAATAAAACAGTTCAGCGTTTACGGCTTTCTATCTTGCGCACAGGAGTTAACTGGGTTATGTAGCATTGGCCCAGTGCAACTCGCTGTAAAGCTTCTCGCATAACGCAGAGTAGAGCGATTCATTCTGGTCGCTCTAGAGGACAATCCCTACCGTATAAATGATCTAAGCGATCCTCTAAATATTACCGACTTAGAAAGCCGCAATTCGTGATTCTTTCCAATGTTAACAAAGCTGCTACAAACTTTCATTTTTACAGACGCTTTTAAATTTGTTTGCTGTCATTCATTATACATATAATGATCTAGTTTGTTCTCCATTGTGCCCCACGTCAATCTCTCGCTTCTTTTTCCTCCTTTTTTCACTCGTTCGCCTTTTACTAATTACTATTGTCATCATGTATTATTCAATATCAATTTTATTATTATTGTGTTAGACATAATTTCTCGCATTAGCTGCTACTGTTGCGCCCAGTAAACATCATCTCAAAAAGTTTATAAGCGGATCCCCGCTTATAAGAATATTCGTCAAGTTCAGTGATAAAAACATTTTTGCCTATTTGCATTTTATATTATTTGCACATCAGATTGGACGACAAATGTGCAACCATAGTTCCTGTATTTAACAAATTTCCATTTTAATCAAAAAAGAAATTTCTCCACTCCAGTACATTCCGTATATAGTATAGCGGGCGCTGTTTTTATATGTACGAATATTCAAAACCTGGAAACAGTCCGTTGGCGACGCTGCTGTTCAATTACGAATTGTTCAACGTTGAGATGATGTTTAAACAAGGCCAAAGCTACAACGTCAACGGCAAACGTCGTTGTCGTCCTAGTTTCTCATCCAGTTAGTGAAAACAGACACTCCTATCGCACTAACACTCTCTTACCGCAGTACATTTCCATTGATAGGGAAACAACCTCGCGCTCTTTTCTCTAGCATATTCAAAAACTGAATTTCATCACTGAATAGCGATACAATTGGATAGACTTACGGGAATAGATTCCCTCTATGTCGTTTATCTGTGTGGACACTGAGTACCCATTGTACCAATATCGGTATTAATCAATGTGACGTACTCTTTTGACGATTGAGTTACCATCATACTTCAGCTGATCTGCCGGAATGTAGCACGAGGCGGCATACGTTGTCTGTTCTTTCCTTATCTTTTCCTTACACACTAAGGTTTGCAACGTTTTCTATATTATTACAAGTGGTCCGCATTCACATCACGGGGTCCCGCCCATATCTCACAGTTCCTGGCTAAAACCTTTTTCATTACTTCATTGTTACTGTTACCGTCATCATTATTATTATTATCGAGAGTAATAATGTCATTATTATTCCTCCTCTTATTAACTAGTTTTTACAACATTTTCCCATTCCGTTCCAATGCTTACATTCAATGGCGTTTTAACATACATAGCAGTTATCTAGCTATCTAGTTTTGTCCTCAGTTATTTTCTATACATAGTACACTACTATTAATACTAATATAATAAAAAACAATGCTAAGTCGACAAAAATTTCAAATATATAGTAATAGCAATTATATAATTACAACTTAATATTACTAATATAATAATCGTTATCATCTTATGCACGGTGTAGTAATGAAGGGAATCGACCGACGCTCCTCCGCTAATAGGCGCTGATCATCATTCACGTCGCCAACGCTTAAGACAAATCCATGTTATTACTCCTCGCTCTTTCCGACATATGACTTCACCTTCTTTCGCTTTTCTATTATACCCACCTGTCTATTCTCGAAGTGTACATAACACGACATACTTCTAGCTATGCAACCATATTTGTATCATCCATATTCTATTATTATGTCCCATATTTCGGGAGTATTTTAGCGCTAATATTGTTCGTATTTTTGTTGTCGTTGTTGCTGTCCTGAGGTTTTCGACTCACTCCTTCATTCTAATCTGTTGTCAATAAAAAATACATTTTCTCGTATGTGAATCACGTAGCTCTCGCTTTGTTTGTGTATGTGTTTGCGCGACGCCCAGCAGAGAACCCAACAAAAAACCGCCCCTATCAAAATAGTAGTCTCATCTTTGATCATCCAATCTGTCAATCTATCACCCTCATCTCGTCCAGTAATATAATTTTTTCGCGTTTCTTCGATTCATTATTCATTATTTTCTATTATTTTCCTGCTACAAAATAAACCGAGTGAAAGTGAGCAACTAAGACTCGTCGTTATTTTCGCCTTCGGTATTATAATAGGACAGAAGACATTGATAACGGTAACATTGTTACCGTTATCAATATGTGCGCACCCTTTTCATCGTTGTCATCATTAGCTAATCAATATTGTTGTTCAATGTTTATCGTTTTGTTTCTGTTTTTATTTAGAATTGTCATTAGTATTTTTATACTTTCTTAACGACAGCGTTCTCGGAAAACGTCTTTACTTTTTTGTCACTTTTTTGTGAAAGAGCGCGACCTACGTACATGCATCCAGCCCAGAAATTACTTAAATCTCTGATCAAACAACAGCATTCACGTGAAACAGCACCAGCGTCAGCGCCAGGAAGTGTTGCGATAAAACGTTCCCACTTTGTGCTAGAGTTGTGGTTTTTCTTGTTGTCTTTTTTAATGTTGTTATAGTTTTTCTGACAACATGCATGCTCATTTTACCACTTTAGTTACCTGCGTACCTCCAAGGGAGGTATTCATACGCAACATGTTTCCTGAAATGTATGTTATTGTGTTGTAGGGAGTTCTTGGTGCGCAAGCACAAAATCTTCCACCAAAAAAATTTTGTTCTATGATTCAATGGGGGGAGGGCATTAGGGCGATTGTCCAACGGGTGACGGAAAAACGCTGTCTTTGTTCCCAAGTTTACGCTGAGCACGTTTCGAGGGGGGCAGATCAATTCATTGATTACTAAGTCTACAGAATCAAATGTTTAATACTACCGTACTCCCCACTGGAACATAGTTGTGACGACGATTCATCATACCGTCACAAACTCAGTAAGACTATCCTCTACATGTTGAAAAGTTTGCTTTCTAGGAGCTCAACATCCAGCGTATACTTCTATGCCCGTTTCTGTGTGTGCACCACCCAACAGCTGTCCGCTGTGTGGACAACGGATACCTGTAGCAGAGTGCGTCAGATTCGCGGAAGCTGGCATACTTGGTTCATAGAACTGGTACACAGTCTACATTGTATGCAATCTACACTATCCTTTGTCGAGATAGCTGCTCATAACCCCAGGTACAAAGTAATACCTGGTGGGTTGGCATAGCTTCGGCAAGATAGTCATCATCACACATGAAGAAACATTCGCATCCAACTTGGAACACGCTTATCTGTCGACAACTCTATGCCTACAGAGAATCTATTGGTCAAGTTTACCTCATCATAGTGTTGTTATATTGGTAGGCCTCAGTTATTTTAGCGGCCTAGGACTTTTGATTTCACAATCACACATTTATGGCATGTTCACAGACATCGCCATAGACATGCAAGCACTGGTGAGGGAGGATATTCTCACTGATCGGCGGAATAATTACTATTCGAAAAAAATCTTCCATGGACAGGTTAGCCCAATGCTACTCGTTATCTTCTGCTGTCTTCACTGCTTTGACTGATGCGAAATACCATCGCTATTACAGCTGCTGCCGGAAAGTGTCAAACAAACTTTAATTGCTCTACTGTAGCAAGCTAGCAGTGGAAATTGAAGTAGCTGGATTTAAATACGTTTACAGGAAACAGTCGCTGTTTGTCTGTTTATGAATGTGTGCCTGAACTGCAATGAGACATAGTAATGAAGAGCAAAATGTTAAGGCAAGCTCAACAGTTCTTCGGGCTTTTGCTTGCCATCTATTGTGTGACTTCGCATGTGTGTGTATCTGTATGTGCAAAGCATTTACAGGTCTTGTTAGGTTGAGGCAACGTGCATTTTCTATACACACCACACTACTCCGCTACTGCTGCTTCGACTTTTTGAATTGCTGTAGTACTGTACGTGACACCACGGACATCACTTCGTCCTAATTGTAGAGCAATAGTGATAATAATAGCAGTTATAACAGCCATTATTTCATTGGCATAATGATACAAGAGCAGCATTCTAGAATAGTTCAGTAGAATAGTTCTCTGTAGCTCTCTACCTGTCTCTCGAAATCTCTACCATTACCTCTTCATATTATTGTACCCTTGCGTAGTATTGCCACGTCAATATCTCTACCTCATTTTCTTTTTGTTATTATTCTAGTTTCGCCTCCTTCTCTATGGCAATATATCCTCGTCGTTTTAAAGTAGAAAGAAGAACGACGAACGGCGTGAACTCTGCAGTAAACTGTTGCTGCCGTTAACGATGGCGACCCATTGCAGGAGCTGGTGCCGTAACTGGGATTGCCGGCAGGATTCTTCGGGTCCCACCTGTTTCTCGAGGTGCAGATGCTGGTACTGTGTTTGACGTTGAAGCTGGTGCAGCTGCTGTTGCAACTTTTGCCGTTGCTACGGGCCTTGGCAGCATTGCCCTGTTGCTACTCCAAGCAGACGACATTATTAGCGAGCAGTCTGCTGTAATCGCCTCATTTTGTAAGTTGCTACTGCCGGGTCTTAGAATCGTTGTTGTTGCTGTTCCTGTTATTGTTGTAGTATTGGTTCTTTGCGAGAGTGTAACAGGGGGGCGAGCAGGGGGTTGGGCTGTTGGTAGAGGCGGACGCTGTGGGCGAGGAGGTGGTGTTCGTGTGTTGCTGGTCTTGTTCGAGGTTCGTAATAATGATGCCTGCTGTTGTGATTCCATTGTCGCGCCCGTTTTCATCGTCATAGTAGCGCTACTGGTAGCATTAGCAGGGAAAACGCTACTACTAATAATTGTAGCTGCGGCTGTTGAAATTATAGTTTCTGATGTCGTTTTTGCTCCAGCATCCTCCACGGCTGGCGGCTACCTTCTCTCGGTGAATAAGTAGAGATTGTTGGTAGCTGCCACTGCAAGAACATTATCACGAGGATGCCAAGCCGTATGAAGAATCTTCCGATTGAAGTCGAGGCAGTCGACTGTCAGCTCTTCCTTCTTACGTTTGCCAACACCTGTCGCCGTTGCGCAGACCCGTTTTGGCCGCAACAGAGTTCGAGGTTTGGCAATCTCCCGGGACGCCTCCAACGTGACGTCTCGCTTCGTGTTACGATCGAACACGCGGAAGAAGTTGTTGTATGAACCCGTCATTATGTAACTAAGGAAATGTATCCCAAAATCGTAAGCAGGATAAACAGAAACCAGAAAGAACGTTATTTTGGCGTCTTGTACACGAATCGACCCGAATGGAACTCGGGAGTCTAATTTTGCCTATTATACATGAAAGGACGAGGGTGAATGTACTCGCTTGCATTACCTATTTCTTTTTATAGCGATAGCACATACGTATATATGGTTTGATACTCACTTGTCATTACCGTTCCAGCAGCATTCGAACTTATCGAAAATACAATCGTTTTCATAAAGCGAACAAAGCCGTGTTCGCAAGTATTCGTGAACATCGAACGTTTGGACGGGCCGGTTTTCCATCTGAAGGTCCCATACCTGAACAAAAATGAAACCTATTAGTGTAAGCCGTTATGTATTAGCTTGGTCTGCTAGTACTAATTGAATGAGCTGCTCTTATAGAACATACCCATTTTCGTATGCACAAATTACCGTATTACAGAATCATAGTAATACTACATCTCATATTTTAACACAGACGGTGACACTGTTCTAGTAGTGGCCAGAAAAACACCGAAAATGACGATGAAGTTCTCTTCCACAGGTGTTTATATACCGAAAAAGCTTTCATCGTAATGACCCCTACCTTAACAGTGAGGTAATCTCGAGATAGCAAGTATCGACCACAGTGCGAAAACTTGACGTCGCTAATCGAGGAGATAATTTCTGAAAAGAATGACCGATTCGTAGGATCTTCAGGCTCTTCGAACAGCTTCGAGTGCTGATCGCACAGGGCCGCCTGACGCATATCACACAGCCGGAGGGTGCCCTTTGATGATGAGTAGACCAGATGCTGACAATGATGAGGATGGAACTCGGCCGCCGTTATTACTTCAGTAAGTTCCTCCATGTTTGCCGGCTTAATATCAACAATGTTGAAACTCTGGTCAGTGCATTCCAAATGCCATAGGTTGATGCGAAGGTCATCTGCTGATAGATACGTTTCCTAAAAAAACAAGCAGAAATGGGCACAGAGAGCTTTTTAGCACAGATAGTAATTAATGAGTTAACAACTACTATTCTGCCGACTCCTTAATGCGATTTCTATTTTGCTTCTAACATATTTTTGTGTAATTCGAAAAAGTGTCAGTTCTAATGACATGTTCGTGAACTCGTCCTTACCTGGTCGGAGTTCACGGAAATCGAGTTGATGTGGTACGTATGCGCATTGGCAAAAACTCTTCGTGGGGAGGCTTCCACCATAAGCTCCATCGGTGCGATTGTTGGTACCTTCAACTCGCTGGAGTCCGTAAGCGACGGCGCAGGACCCTCGGGTGGAAGATTGTATCCATCGATCTTTTTGTCTCGCTCGCTCACCTTCCATAGCTTTATCGTTTTGTCTAGACAGACGGGAAAATCCATAAAATTACATTGTTAGAAGATGGACTCTGACTGGAAATTTTTCATATTATTCCAAACTTCACGTCTCAATCATGTGTCTCTTGTGATTTCAACTTTACCATTCGTAGAGAGAAGAAAATGTGCCTGGTTCTTTCTTCGCAACCAACGGATTTTGTTGATACGTTCCTCAATCTCCAGCGACTTCAGGTAGTCAAATTCTGGCTCATGGCTCTGCAAACAATGGGTGACCGTAGGTAAGGGGTTTCTGTTGTTAGTGGCCTCCCAAAAGTCTATACTTGAAAGTAAACTGATTTTTTTTTGTAACTTGCCGTTACAGAAAACAAGAGTAACTTGTAACAAGAGTAACAACTTTAAAATTAAACAACTTAACTTTTTAAAGTTGTTTGCTATTTAACTTATTTATTTTTATGTTCAAAAGAGTCAATAACGAAGTGATTGATGTCACCGGCGTAGTGTGGAGTTTGATCTGCGCGCTCAAAGTTGCCATAAAATGTACGCGTGAAAAGACACATACAACAACCCTAGACAGCCTTTTTACTACCTTTTTTTTTGCAAGATTACTACCCACAAAATAGCTCTTCTTTAATATCCCTTGCCCGTGTCAATGCCACGGTACTACATCGAAGCGCGTAGAGAATATACGCTAAAATATCCCTAACCGTAATTTGATACAGGATGGCGTAACTCGCATAGTTGAATGCGTTTTCTCCAAGGAGTGTCTCGCTCGTTCTGTTTATCCTGAGCTTAACGACCAGTACCAACTTTTAAATTTATCAGTGACTTAAGTGAAGTAAAATTACTGCTTGTAATCAGTGATTTTGTAATTAATTATCAGACTTGCTTAACCATCAGAAATTGTGGTAGCTTTCATTCCTGGTGACTTCCAAGATTTCACTCTGTTGGTTTTAATTCCGTGGTTATCTAGTGTGAGAGCAACAGGAATAAGTCATAATGGTAAAGGAGCTATGCTTCAATATTAAAATATGTGCTCGTCGTGGTGAACGTAACAACCACCATTTGTGTGTTTCATACGAATATAATCAATTCTTCTCTGGTTAAAGATGTTCTAGGAATATGGCGTTTGATTAGCATGATCATGCTCTGTGTCACCTCGCTCCGTTTCGGTACCACTCACCTGGAATGTTGAATAGACAGTGTATTCGCCAGGCGTGCCGGCTCCGTGGCCACCTCGTTTTGACGACTGCGGTTGTTCGCAGTGGAAAATGACGACACGACCGCCTTTATCGCCGGTCGCGAGAAGCTCGCCGTCGTGGTTAAACTCCACGCAGCTTATTATGTCCGCTGGAATCATGAACAAATTTATCGTTAACGAGGGTACCTAAAGGACAACAAGGATCAGAACGGTAAATATTCAAATATTATTGCGTAAAAAAGTTGATAAAGCAATTTTGTTACCTCACTATATGAGTTTATAGTTATCGCTGTGAGGTAATAGCTAACAACTGACAATAACTCAACGAAAAATCGGAATAAATCGAAGCCCATCAAGGACTACTGCTAGTTGTATCGTTTTTTAGATAAACACAGCGGTATATATTATATATATATAATATTACTCCGAACATTCGTCACTTTAACCCCTATAGCACCAATGCCATTGTTTACTATTCGATCCGAAACTGATTCGGATTCCAACAGCCTGTTAAAAGCCTAGCGGAATAGATGGCCCTGCTGATACCTGCGCAACGACTCCAAACCACCTTATCTCGCGGAAAAGATCTTGCTGATGCAGTGGTAACTGGCAGCAGTGGGTCGGTTGCCTAGTGCCTGTGGTCGCGTTTACAAGATACAGAGACTGTGGAAGTTAAGGACGGCGCAAAGGGTGCGGCCCAGCAATGAATAGAGTAAATTTAGACGCTTTTCATGCGACTCAATCCCCTATCCTCTCGGAGGATTTTCAGTCCGACTGGACGAACTGAGCCAGGTCTAAACGCGGCAGACTTTGCCAAAGACCAGCCCGAACAAAGAAGAATGAACACACTTGGATTAAAGAGGTAATCGAAGTTACGAAACATGTCGACAAGTAGGTTAACAGTCTAATCTCTACAAGAACAGCCTAAGAAACAGGTTGACACGTACGTTGAATAAAATGAGCAAAAACGACGACAAAATCAGGCACAAAAATTGTGTTTTTAAAAGGTGTTGATGTTGTTCCTGTGATAATTACCACAGAAAAAATTATGCACAGATACTAACGTTCCTTTGTTCGAATTTGAAATGGTTTCCATGGAAAGTTCGCACTTTTCGTGGAAACGATCAAGACGATTATGGCTGGTATTCCAAGAGCAACCATAAGCCCGTTATCGCAGGTCCAGTAAGACTGATAGGATGAAGGCCATAAAAAACAAAAGCAAGTGTGATGACATAGGAATCTCGGTAAACAACCTTGTATCGTGTACCTTCGAAAATACTGATAATCATGATGCGCTTTCCGAAGGCATTAAAATAGCATAACAACCACTTAAATAAGCGGTTCCATTTTGGATTTTTTGATACTGTAAAAGAACTGGTATATGGTATAATCTTAAGTTCAGATATGTCCTTCTTTAGCAGCATAAGGTATGCCGTTACCTCTACAGAATTGGGATTCATTTTGAAATATATAAATAAGAAGAATCGTATTTCGTAATTCCTTTCCCGCCGTTGTACGATCCAGCTGAACTTGGTGTGGTAACTGTAGTACTTTAACCTTTTTCAAATACGTTCACTAACATACCTATTACAATCTAGATGTTACTCTTGGGAGGCAAGGCGTAACCATGGTAGTACATTGTGGGCTATTGTGGTCTCTGTTCGGCAGTCGATGGTTACTGTTACCGGACGTTACCGTCAAACTAAATAGACAGACGGAGATCGGTCGGTTACTCGGTTTATTATTGCGCTCGACTGTTAATAGTTCGTTATTACGTGAAGGCTGAAGCAGCAGCGGCAGTGAAATCAGACATTTTTGCCTTTTTCTGGCCATACGATATTTCACGTAATGGCTGCTTCCCATCTGATCGATAAGGAACATAAAATAACTAGTTTGGACTGCTGTTCGTTATGATCAGACAAAACAAGGTTAAATAGCTTGTCGAAAAACAGTGCTTAGAAGCAATACAAACAATAACTAAACAAAATATTTATCAAAGTCAGGCTTTTCTGTAAATACCATCGTTTAGCCGAGTGATAACCAGGTTTTCTCTAAAACCTTTGTTGTTAGAGAAAACCGGGTTCCATAGAACTGATTTCATAGGATTCCAGTCAAAAAATCGTCTTAGGGAAGCGAGTATCTTAGACTTAAGTATCCAGTAGTTCCTATTCTCAGTCCACTGATAATGAAGCTGCGCTTTGTTGCTTTATGCTAATTAAGCAATGTTATCTTTTCATGAGATAGCCCGGGTTGAAACTACCGGCTTTCTTAGCACGTCGCAGTTAATTGCCGCCGCACTTCCGATAACGAATCACTACTGCTGCTACTAGTACTAGAAGAACGCTGCACTGAGTGCCCCGCCGCACAACCAATTCCATTGTAAAAGATTATTCTTCTATCCTTTTGTGAGGAATGTCCAACTCAGACGACTGAGCATGGTCGCTAGTCCGAGTACCCACGCAATACGATCGTAAAATGATATAAAATGATACGATCTCCCCGGTACAGCGCAAAAGCAAAAAATTAGCCAAATAACACGGTATATAAAGTAGGTAACTGAGTACGTAAGTACTATACCGGTCAGCGGAAACTCAAAGCAGGGCCAATTCGATAACCAGTATGCTGCGGCACATCCACTTAACCAACGGAAAAAATTTCCCTGTCCTATATAATTTGTGCGAGTATTCATCAAACATAAATATTACCTCATTATATTTGAATAAAACGTGTGAAGTTACACTCGTAATGTCCATTGCTCATCTCAAAGAGTAAAACCAAACCGCGTCGAACGCGATTCTAGAGATGTGTAGCTGATTAAGTCATTAGACAATATCTTCGTTATTACTGCTGTCGATGAGTACTAATGTGGCATTTCCTAAGACCGATTTCTTAACAGAGATAATTTCCAAAGAACTGCACAAATATTGTCCTAACGGTTTGGTTGTGGACCTCCTGGCACGCTAATGTCTCATTGTTGATATAAAAGTGAAATCACCTTCGTTACTCCATTAGCGACAAGCAAACATTCCTGAACGCTTCAACCTACCTTCCAATATTAATCGCTTCTAAATAGAGCTAACGTACCACTCAAAAAATATCTTTGCCATGCTATCAATGGCTATATTTCCTATGCGATGGAAAGGCAAGTCCGTGTATCGGTATGGCGAAGGACCAACCACCATAATCGCTAATCCAATGAATTTCATAGGAAATGAGATCGATTCGTGGACGTCCGTAGAAAATTATTCGAACTATTAGGCGTTCTCGCATTGTATATATGGTGCAGCGTAACACGAATGCCAATATCAACCCGTCCCAAGATTTGGCTCGTCTCGTGCTCCCTAAGAAGAAGGAATCCGAAGGACGAGAGTGGCACAGTGCAAAGCCGAATAAGAATCACAGTACATGAAACATGGCTTAGTCGACAGTCATAAGGAGCGAACCGGCATCATACGAAGGCTGAAGTTCTGGACGATCTGTCCCTTTCTCTACTATGAATTATTATTACATACAAAACTATCTCGAGAAGGTTCTTCTCAATAGTAATGAGAGCGATGGCGGTGAACACAACGGCATATGAAGATTACACGGAAAGAACCATAATTCTCACAAAGGCTAAAACTTCCAAGTTATAGTCACGTCGTTGAATGTTGCCTGTCATAAGATCACGTTTTCAGTTTCAGAGCGAAATGTCCCACTTCTTAACAATATCATGGACGGCCGATTTTGCATTTTTTATTTCACGTAACATATATACCGTGTCGATTGTGCTTATCAGTTTACATGAGGATGATTAGGTGTCGAGAGATCGTTGATGCAACTACCCTATGCTACTGCGTACTTCACATATTACTGTTTCACGATTCCTGGGAACAGCCGATAAACCTTGTAGCCTTGATAGATTTTAACAATGTACTAGCTATGAATAGGGGTTTCGACCCATGTATAAAAGCTCACCTTCTGTCACCTCATCGTCAAGGGTTCCTTTCACCTGGGAGAACTGCCACTGGATCTCGCCCCCGGTACCTGTAGATTCAAGGATATTAAAATGTTAGTGTTGCGTATCAGTTCGTTCACTTTTCTACCGCATATCATACGTCGGTCTATATCAATAATTACGGTGCATTTCCAGTGCATTTGACACACTAATTAAAACGTTTTAATTTGACTACATCTACAAGAGGAGGTCGCAAGTCATACCGTAATAGTGTCAACAGCTATGTCCCAAAAGTGAAAATAGGAACACGGAGCATTAAAAAAGCGTTTACTCATCATAGCAGAATCGTTTCGCTTTTGAGTAAGGCCGTCGTTGATCGCCCCGTCAAATTTTTATTGGATCAGAATATAACCAATCGAGCTCTTGAAAGCAGTGCGAAACGAAACGTTTATCCAATGAAAGAAGCTTGGTTTACCCGAAAATTTCCAAGCATCCGTCTCTTTTGTGCGGTCACAAGAACTGCTTCGCTAGTGAGTATACGGAAATAGGACGGAAATACCCGTTTTTCCGTCAAAATGTTCGATATGGTCATCGACCGTTACACCTCAATCTAATGATGCGGAAAGGTATTGACATTTTAGATACTCTCATTTGTCAATAAGCTGACACAGCCTGTCGGACAGATGAACTTGTGGTTCTTATAGGACACCTTGGCAACGTTTAAGTTTTGTAATAACACACATTGATCAAAAATACCTCGTGTATTTGGTTTGCAATGTACATCGAAGGAATACGTACATAGTGAATTTCATTACCACAGTACATACAAGCGATGGCGACGACAACCTTCAGCCACTATGGTGCTATAAAAGTGAAAAATCGTATACTTAATAGACGTAACTGACTAGCCTTTAAATAGTCAAGTGGTGTTGTGGCAAGTCGATGGGCACCTAATAACCGCTTCGTCGGTGCAATCTTTATCGAATCCGTGCGAACCATAACTGCGGGTGCCCGATGTCGATTTTCTTCAACAAAAAAAGATACCAATTTTGCTTCGAATCCACTCGTCGACCGACCAAGTGCTTCTGCTAACTAAAACAATTTCAAAATTCACCCAACAGAATCAAATGTTGTCGCTTTCCTTTCTTTAGAGCAGAAACCAAATTCTGGTTTGCCTACCACTACATATACACTAGGAGATTGATATTCCTTGTCGCTTCCTTTTCCATCTATCGTCAATCTTTTCCTTAAATTATGCTACATCACTCGTGTATTAGTAAGAAAACAATTCAGCAGCAAAAATACGAGCAATCAAGTTAGGTGAAATATATTGAAATAAAACAGTTTCATTTTTATGTAGCAAACAATGTACGAAGAATAGACTAGCAAATCGCCCTGGAGACTTAAACAACGCCGAAGTAGTGGGTGAACCCCAGCAATAACTGGATGACACGTATAACCGCTAGCATGTATTGGAATCGAATACATGGCAGCTTACGCACTAAACAGGATTGCCTAAAACCACGAAAAATGCGCATGATCTTTCTTGCGGGCAAAACGGACAATTTGCACGGGCCGGCTGTGACCCCACTCGAACTATAAGGATAAACAGTCATGAACAGACTTTGAACGGCATACAATGACATCAGTAATCTAACACCAATTTTTATGGCTAGCGTTTCACACGTCGTAAGTACAATCGTATACTTCGTGAGTGGAACGTTCCTATTGGTTATTTGGTAAAGGTTTTTCCGTAACCTTTCATTGAAACTCGTCTATGCTGCCGAAAACTTCTTGTAGAAATCTGCGATTTTCATGATGAAACGTTCTCGGTTCACTCCTGCGAGACACAGCAACCGATCTGATACACAACGACCACTGGATCAGAATGGCATCAACACAAGAATGATGATGACGACACAACAGTCGAATCAAGAGCATCATCCATATATTAGCATATATTAGCACACGCGTATAGAGCAGGCAGCGTCCCATACAATGGCCTTAGCAGAACGGCTGCAATAGCATAGGAAAGCAACTGTCTCAATGGTGTTTCCACAGATGTATTATACTACATAATTGCCTAATAACAGAACACCAGATATCACTTATGTCATGAATAAATTTCGATCAACTATATGACGAAAAATGAGTCGCGGAAAGAACAGGTATGATAATAATGCGCAAGAATTGGCGGACAACGGCAGGACAACAACAACAACAACAACAGTTTGAAACAACACGAACTCCGACGCGTCTATTCGCGTCCTCAAACAAAGATTGGCATCCAGATAAACGAGTTCCGATCACAGCTTACAGAGAGAGATGGTAAATACGGGTTTTACAATAGCTGAAAACCACTGGGTAGACTTCTGCCGAGTGGCACCTTAGCTTTCTTCAGCCGGTCGACGTTGACGTTGTAGTTTCAGATCGAAGAAAACAAGTCTGCGAGCCGGCGGCGCAAAACCGGTCCGGGTTTGAGATTGGCATGGGAGAACGACTCGCGACGACATCCGATGAAGGAAAGGAAGGTGGAAAACGCCAATAAAAAAAAAGAAAACGTCAATATGATATCAAGTCTAAACGAAGTTGTTTTTACGGATCCTTTGTGGAGAAAAGGAGATGGAGTCACTTGCAGTGCATTATATTACTACTAATAGTTTAGTTACTATTGTTGTACGTTTTTTTTGCCAATTAACGAATGTCTTGCTACCGTAATCCTGCAGGTCGTCAACGTCAAAGAACACCAAGACTATTACGATGACATGTGATACAACCGGCCAATGGCTTGGTATGGTTGACAGGTCAATTTTTTTCTGCTAGCACCAAAAAATCGCCACCAAAAAAAAACGTTGCGAATCAATGTATGCAGCGGCGTTGTACGGACGGACTGGCTAAGATTTGACGGCTTCGTGATGAATCGATAAGCATGCAAACGCCTTCATTCTTTTCTTCTCATCCATAATACCGAAATCGAGAAGCATAAACATAAATGCATAATAGCTTCCGAGGATAAAGCACGGGGAGAATTTGTTGGCCATCAGCATAAATGGATAGCACTGATGATTGCGAGATTTACTAGAGTACTAGAAATAGCCTGTTGTTCAGTTACACGCCAAGCGGCAAAAAGAGCAGTTTGTTGTTTATCACTGTCTGGTGTTGAGATGTTGTCGGTTGTCGTCACCATGAGCATGATCTATTGGAGTGTTACGTGTTTTTTTACATAGATCGTTTGAACTCGCTTCCTTGTTATTGAGACTGTCTCGTTTGGTTTTTTGCTAGTTGTTGTGCTTGCTGTTGATGTTGTTGTTGTTGTTGTTCCTGATATTTCGTTTTTCGCTGTCGCTAACTAGCATACAGTTGCCTGAGTTCGGCTCGGTTTGGTCTGGATGAAGCAGCGGCGACCCTGTCGACAGCGATTGCCCATCCGTGTAGCCTGCTGCTGAAACCTCCTCGGAGAGGGAGCCGCTCTTGTGCCGCTTGGACAGGAACCCAGACGACGCGATAGTCGTAGTTTCGGCGGCCCTGGCCGAGCGCGCCGAATCGCCGGCAGACGTACCTGCCATCGAGGCGGTCGGGCTAGCAGGACTCGAGACGTGGCCTCGAGATCCTTCTGGATACGATTTCACACTGTAGAAACAACGCAGCGCGGCGATTTCATCGGATTCGCCGTTTGTTTTCGTCCTCGGTAAGATTCACCACTGCACTGCACTATTCACACTCCACTCTACGGCTGCTATTGCCGCTGCTGCTGCCACTGCCATTCGGTCGCACAAACTATACACACAGTCGCGCTCGGAACAAGATGGCCGCCAATCACAACAACACTTCTATCCAGCAGGGGGAGGGCAATGACTAGATAGACCGATAGTCGTGTACGAACCACAGCATAAAGAGATGGCTGCTATCTACGACACGACGAGCCGACACACGAATAGCTATATACAATTGCTCTGACTGCCTGCCTCCAAACAGATCGCCCGCTCGAAGACTAACCGACATACACTATAAAAGACAATCACAGATACAGCGACACTCACGGCCAGTATCGATAGTGCCGGTACCACACACTGACACCGCCACTATCCGGAGAACACCACCAAACCAGAGACCTCACGGGGTGGATCAGCCGCCGAAAACACCGTCACACGCTTCAATTCTTAGAGCAGTCAGAGCACCGGATACAACGGGCTAGATAGCGCAAACAACTGGGTTCGTCATCGAGCAGACGTTAGGTTCATCTCACCAGCCACTGGTACAGTGAGTCAGAGCTAGAGGTGGGCTCGCTTCAAGCAATGGCACTCACTCTGACTCGCCTGCTAAAAGCAGCTTGTACTGCTGAGGTCGGCAGTAATAGAGGCCGCTTGCTAAGAAACGGCGCAGTAGAGATTTATACAGCTCTACTCATTCACCTGCGTGTTGCATAGAGGCTGAAGACCTGCGCCAGCGACAGCAACGGTGAATGCGTAGCGGGTGTCTAGTATGGAATGGGTCGAGTCACGTGATCCAGCGAGGAAGGTTGGCGGGCGAGCGCGCTAAAATTTGAATTGCAAGTGCTATTATACATTAGTCGATTTTGTACCAGTGATTTTTGAAATGGTGATGAGGCTGGCACCATGATCCAATCTGGAATAGGCGTATCTGAATCTGGACATGCATGCGAAACATTTTTTACTAAGTTTTTTTGTCAATCGACTTGGATTACCGGATCGCATATATAATTTATATTAGGCTCGTTTATGAGGAACGGATAGCAATAGGCAAGGGTGCTTAGAAGGTACAACACCCGCTAGTATAACATAAGGAACAGCAGAAACTGAGGAACAGCAGAAATTGAAGATGAAAAGGAAAGGGAAGGTTGGGATAGACTGCACGGTAAAAGTAATCCAAATGTTTTACTTGCCGTCTACGTGTTTATAAGTGTAGGAAATAACTCTGGTTCATTGGTTTAAAGCTTTTTGTTACAATACACAGGGCATATTAAATATGCAAAAAGTTGGAGCTCATTAACTCTTACTACACGGCCAAAGATGTGTATTACCCTTTGAATCATTCAGTTATCGATCAGAAGAAAACCTGAAAGGCTCTATTTATATACTTTGTAGTCCTCATGCGCATGATAATTGTTATAAGATGACGTTTTTAAAAAGCGACAGAACAAGAGTAGGCTAAGGTATATATATATATATATATATATATATATATATATATAGTATATATATATCACAAAAACATCAATTAGACAATCGCTTTGGCACGTTAAAAGACCAAGTGTTTCACTAGCAAAGGAGATACTGCAAATAACATTTTAACAGAGAGAACTATATGCCTTAGCTAAGAATTTGATCACATACTGATAATCGCTGATATATGAGTTTATTGGTGAATGGGTTTCAGTGTGTTCAGAAGTGAGTTCAGTAACGATTATGATTATCATTGCATAAACGTCACAATATAAATAGAGAAAAACGACAGGTTCACCTAAAAGTTACCCAGATCCAGCTAATTAGAAATGGAGATCAATTGTACTGTCGTAAACTACGCACGGATACATTCTAACAAAAACAATTTTCCTTAAGAAATATTTAAATTAAAGCTATCAAAACGTAACAAAAATAAATTGTTCGAATTCGATTCAGGCAACTTATAGCGTACGGTATGTTGGACTTCGAAGAAAGAATGATTTTATGTTATTATGCCTTCACGTCTGCTGATTTTCCACTTCAAGAACAAAATATCAGAATAATTTCGCTCAGTGTCAACCTCATTTGCCCTTTACGATTTATGTGGAGTACGCACCAAATATATATAAAACTGTCCGATAAATATATAGTCTTTTATAGTAACGCAACATGCATCAAATACAGACGCAGGAGGCTAGCATAATCGGTTATTTGCGAATCATTTTCACGTTCAAATTAATTAGAGTAAGCTGTAATATATTATGATCACTTCTAATCTGCAGTCACAGATCGTTCTCGGTATCTACACGTAAATCTTACCAGGGGTTCGAGTATTTGAGCACGGTAACTTGTGCTCGCGATCGGCCGAGACCAGATATGACATTGTGGTCTTTTTTCGGTTAAGTGGAGATAAAAGACTCCGGAGACCCTGATGACCCGTTGTGTATCTTCTTTGCCCTCCGTGGGGACGCTCATCGAAGTGGAGTAACCCATTGCCCACATCTTCGTCGCCCCCGGTCGGACCGCATCCTGAGTCTACTCGCATGCTCTCACTGTCTTGTTGGTGTTGTCGCTCTCGCTCGAACTGCTTGTTCCTCGCGCCCACGCTAAGGAAGGGCATCGTGGCTCGAACGATTGTCTGAAACTTCGCCTTCATCTAGGCATAATTTTAAAAACAACAAAAGTATACAAGCGACTTCTTGATGAGGCTCTTTGTAAAAAGGAACATCCATTTTTAAAAGACCAAACACGTAAATAGATTAATTTGAGTGAGAATTAACCGAGTTCAATGAATCTTTAAACGCTTTCATGCGCATTTAGGAAACGTTATCAAGCACATTGTACACGGTATAGAAATTAAAGTATAGAATTTCTAAGGTTGTCGGTTGCGTGGCGAATTTTCGATAATGGAATCGACTTCACAGCCTATGCCGCGCAGCAATAGCAGCAGCAGACGACAACAAGCTCAAAATTGAATGAATCTCGTGTTTAATGCCGTGCATTACTTCTCTGCGCGCTCTGCTAGAGATGTCTCAATAACTATGGGTTTTATTATTTATTTTATTAATATTATGAATAATTTAAGGTATAAAGTTTTTGTACTGTCAAAGAGAAAGAAAGTGGACATTTGCTCATTGAAAGTATTTGCGCAAGTGGGTAAGGTATAAGCCCTTCGATTTTTGCATATATATATGTATATATAATCATTATCCGCACATAAAATATTCTGTAAGCGCCTCCCAACTCAATTTAGTGATTTGAAAAATCAACAAAAGTAAGGGTAAACGTGTTTCCCCTCAAGTTTGTGCAATCTTTCCCTTTATTCAATCGTTTTAGGAAAATGAATGTTCCCGTGTGACCATGCAAAAAGAGTTGAAGATATGTGCGTTAGCCGATTTCAGGACTGATTCGGAATCTCATTACCATTGATTGTGTGTCTGTTAGCCAAACATGTTAGGATTAACTATTTCCAGAGAATATCTATGCAAGAATCTAATGATTCTTTAAATTTTAATTAAAGGTAAGGCCGCGTTCAAGAAAAATTGACTGCTGTTTTTACGTAAAGTTTAGTCTTCCGTAACTTCTCTGCGTGTTGAATAGAACATACTACAGCTCGTGATAGCATTGTGTTTTCAAAAATTTTTTATTACAATAGAAAATCACTTCGACTAAAATAACTTTTTCCTGATTTCTTTTGTATCACAGACATACACACAGACACACGCAGGCACATATATATATTGAGAGAGAGAATAGCGTCATATTCACTTGTATGTAGCCACGTTCTAAATGTTTCTATTGATGGCACTGCATTCTCTGACTTGATTCAGATCCACAATAAGTTTGTTGTATTGGCTGTTAATGAAGCGATGTTCACATGCATTGCTGAACAAATCAGACCATTGCAGTTGCACTTCTGTCGTGGTAATTGTAATTAATTAGATAAGAGCAATAGGTATAGGTGAAGCTGTAACTCCTCTCGAAAATCAAATTAAAGCGGGCTTGCTGTCAAAAGAAAATGTTCGCGAGGCAATTTCGAAACTAAATCGAAAGCTTCCGGAACGGCCACAACAATTTCTGGTTCGGTTCAGCGAACCCGTCTGATAGGTATCGGTAGTATGGCGCAGATCGAGAAACATTGCGCATACTGACTAACCGGTAAATTCTTGATATTGTTAGAAGCAGATCGACCATTAAATGGTTGTGTATAGAAGACGTTCGCAAAGTTACGCAATCCTACACAGGATTTTTATTTCAAGTACACGAAATATCTAGACTTAGGAAAGGATTAATAATAAATATTCTACGAACGATTACCATTGAGATCGCTAAACTTCACGTAGTTTTTCATAGGATTGGCTAACTTCCCGAGCACCCTTACACTGCACTTAGGACAGTACGAAACAAAATAATCTACAATCTAGAATTTCTACGCCTAATACGCCGTACTACTTTTACGTCACCTCGCAAATTGACGAGATGGAATTTTCTTGCCGGAAGACCAGTTTGCTTACATCGGCTGTGTGCAGAAAAAAGGAATGGCGAATTGCCGTGTCAGGACGATTGACTGTTGTATTGCGTATAGGGTATGTACGCCCCTTCATAATGCTTCTATTTTATGAGAAACGTTTGTACAACAGGTTCGATCCAGTAGCAGTGATAATAGCTTCTTTATACAAATATATACATATATACTAAAAATGTTACATCGATCGTTGAGGTCGGGTTGTGCATTGCGCACGAGAGTCCCCTAAATCGTGAGAGTATATCTTGATAAGCAAAGGTAAGCTCATTTACCGCTTCTTTACAGAATCATGTACAAAGAACATCTTTTGAGCATTCAGTAGTGCTTAAAGAAAATACTTAAAGCGCACGTACATACATGACACCTGTGTAAACATTAGAAGGCATAGCCTCCATAAATTTTGCAGATTTTCCAAATAGTTTTGTATATCTGAGATATGTATTTCGCTCACCGAGTAGATAAGTACATAGTTTCTACTGTGTAAAATCACTCGTAAAGCATAACTAAAGAATATAACATTGTTAATAAACTTACTTTGTACGCGACTGTGTCAATATACTTTTATTCTATCTATTATATAAATAAAATGCGTTGTGCGCGAGAGTCGTCAAGTTTGCAACTAACAACAATTAGAACTGTGATTGAACTTTTTCATTTTTCATTGAAAAAGATCGATAATCAATATGTGTGAAGTAACCTGTTTCAATAATACTGCGTTCTTTGATTGAGTACGAAATAAAAGTAGTTGGTTTTTTTTACTTTTCGCACGGAATAAAGGCCACGTGGAAGAGTTTCGAATCAGTTGTCTAAGACTAAGAGTTAACTGGATAATTCAGCCTGTAGTTATGCATTTTAGCAAAATAAACAACGTTTTGCAATCGCTGTCGAGAAACAAATTCAATAGGTGAACCCTCAATTAACCTAATTAACAAAGATCGTCTCCGTTCCGTAAACGTTTCTCCGAAAATATATGGCGCTGAATGATATTTTTCAAACAAATTGCCTCTAAGAACACGCCAGCGAAGAACGTTTCCATTATCACAGTTTAGCCATATTAACACAAACATTTATATATATACATATACATCACAGTCGTATTTGGGTCGCATAACGAATTGACGGTGATTAACTGGTATTAAATGTGTTTAATTTGTACGTTTCTGTGCAATACAGTATTTCTCTTAGGCTAGGCGTAATACGCTTGAATGGAGAAAGTTGCAAAAAAGTGTGGGATCATGACTGCGTTTTCTTGGTCCATACTACATTACCGTCTGACGGGTAGCGATCTCTGGCCGATTAACTGATAATTCCTGAACGAAGATTGTTGTTTGATTCAGCGCTAAAAATAAGCTATTCCTAGTTATTTTTTTAATCAGAAGCGCAACTAAAACATTAGCTAACACAATAGGCCTACGAGAGATATAACGGGTCGATTTTTTTTTTTGCGGAACGGACCTTTTGAAGAAGTGTAACATCTCACCAATAAACAAAAAAAGCTAACAGCTAAACGCAGAATAGTAATTCAACAAGCATAATTAAGATCTCGTAACATTGAATATTGTATGTCTAAAGTAGCAATTACCTATTCCACACGATTTCGGGAAAAGCTTTTTTCTCTACTGTTTTATATTAGAGCTATACCTCTAGTTTAAGCGATTGAATTATATAAGTGGTCTCAACTTTCGCTTTTTTTGTGTTCAACTTTATTTATCTCTAATCACTAGCGTTTGCAAACAAGAAAGTAATGAGGATCCTGTATACGGATGTGGTAATACCTTTTCCTTGTTACACCAATACCAATTAATTAAGTGCTACTTAATAAAGTACATGTTTTTAAAGTTCGGATTAAACATTTTTGGTATAATCAAAACGGTATCGAGTGGTTGAGGCTGGCATGCTTTTATAAAGCGTCTGAAAGCATTTAAGAAAAGCGCTCCTGCTTCCTCCAGATGTTACCTCACAAGGCAAACGTGACTATCTTAAATATAGAGTAACTACTGCGAAGATACGAACAACGGAAATTCAGTTTCAGTGTAATTTCTAGTTACAATGTTTGAGTCATGGACCCCAAACTGGCAGAACAGTCCAGCCCAGTCTCTGCTCCTCTGCCGTCTGCCCGAGCCTTCGCGGGTGGATTTTACAGGAAGTCTTGCTAAAACAGTTGTATCTATTATATTTCGATCATTTCTTTACCGATGAATCATACATAGCTAATGTAGTTCAGTAAGTTTGGCATATATCTGGACTCCTACAGGACAGCTCCAAATGAATTACATCGTTTGGCAATATTTTCTACCGTTTTTATTTTCATCCCCGACGAGAAACGATAAGGACATGGTTACCTTTTTCACTTTGGCAAACTACTGCGAAAATCAAACATGCTTGGCCTACTGGAGTTATAGGCTGAAAAAACAATTACATAGCACCAATCGCTCGAAGCGTTGTGTCAGGTCATCAGATGCCTGCAGCTATTCACTTGCAAACATTTCAAATGAACCCGAATTTATTTTTTCGGATTTTTTTTGTTTAAAATTTTCAAGTCGCACAGATCAGGGAGCTTACAGTCACGACCCAGTGTAGAGACATGGGCTTGTGAAAATCTGTGCGGGAAATTTCTATCACAATGTGGCACTCCCACACCAACTGCTCAAGATTAGACATATGTTTATGCATGCGCACGGTATCTAGAGTATGCAAAAGTTCTTACCTTAAAATGTGTCCTGGGCTGTGAAACATCGAAAGAACAAGCTTTCCAGTGATACCCTGGGCCTTAATTGACCTAGCCGAACAGACCCTGCCGAGTAGCGTTTAGTAATGACTTAACTGATCAGCATACGTTTACATTGTGAAACCGACTAGTAATAAAACGCTAGCTGACCCGGGACACTTTTGGGTGACTACTGAGTATTCGTGAAATTGGAATTTCGCTATCTTAGCCGATATTGACAAAACTGATTTTTTTCAAGAATAATGAATATTATAGTCGATTAATATTTTTCATTTTCATCTGACAGGTCATCTGCATTTGTATATATAGATTAAACATGATTCAATTGGTGAACTGTAGCGTAGGTACCCCAAACACTGACTTGAGCAAGTGATTGTGCTGTCTTATAACCAAGGCTCAAACATTTTCGCTTGTTAATAGACTGTATAACCAGTACATTTTTCGAATTTCGCTAGGAAAGTTGGGAAAAACGTCAATTTGAAACATACTCGCAAAAAAGTTTTTTCCATGTACAAAGATCTGCACGGAAAAATAATTAAGCAGAAATATTACAACTGATGGAGGTTTTTCTAAATGATACATTGTCTTAAATTTGTGATAAGCACGAAATTGTCGACGACACGATATAGTCTTTCTTCACTGCCCGGCGTTCTTTCCTCTACTATTGACGTACGATCATATGTTGTGCAAACGTATTTCCCCTTTGTATCAATATGCCAAGCGCCCGCACACCGTGAGCCTTGCCATAATATCTTAAAACATCCGAGAAATTGTCTGCGATGGAAACGCCAAATTGCGATTGATCGAAGTGTAAATGGAGATCGTCATTTATTCAAAACCGGTATCCAGGACACGTACAGATTGAGAATGAAAGAGAGAACTTTGTAAAACGGAGACCACTCTATGCGCCTACGTCGCAATTCAGGTAGCTCATTCTGAACGCCCTGCTGTGAACGATGATAATCGACGTTGATTGTCTCTGCTCTATCTGTTAGCTTCATAGCAATAGAGATGATGCATTTATATTGACACATAAATAATGGAGGGTATACATATACCACATCCGTTGATATTTAATGACCAATAATAATATACTGTATTGTCTCTCCTAAGGTACCTATGGTATAATAGGAGCTAAATAGCTGTGGAAAACAGATGAAGCCCCCCACCAGCCAGCCAGCCCATCGAATGTTTATTAATGTTATAAAAACGTCACGTTTCGGTTTACCTCTATTTTCCTAATACAGCCAGTACTCATTCGGGATATAATATAGAAAAAATACTAAAAAAAAAAATAATATTGTACGAGCATTGCTGTTTAACAACACATCTTTGGTTAGATTATACCCAGCTTGACAGTTATATGCAGATTCAATTTAATGAAGAGCTGTTCGAGGACTTCCGCACAAAAGTAATTGGACAACGCTATTACTAAAGGCTAAATCAGCTGTACGCTCGTCGACGACACTCGATTCCACCGTAATATCATAGCTGTTTTCCTGCTAGCACACCTTCTATCTTCGCGTACGCCTTTGGTACAAAGAAGATGCACAAATAGGCCAGCATTTATTCCAGCATACTCTTGTACCAGTATGCAACATATACACCAGTGCATTTGTCTTATAACGACACGTGACGTAGCCAAGGGCAAGGAAACATGTTTTTAGTGATAACTGGCCATCAAATGCAGCGCTTAAACACAGTGGTAGATGTAAAACTTCAAATGTGTTCAGTATATAGCATTCAATACACGAGCAACCTCTCGGTCACGTGTTTATGCCATGGCACTTTGACGCCTGTCAAGCATTCGGCACGTTAACGACCTCTAACCTTGAGCTTGGTCTTCACACGTAATATATACA